TTTAAATAATGCATTATCTGAGAACTACTCTTTTTTGTTAGTGTCTAATGCTTGTGTGCTTATAAATTTGATCTTTACTTTTTCATGAGTATTATTGTGGATAATTTATAATATAAACTTTTTTTCTGTATTGAAAAGTTTTATAATGCTTATGTAAAAGTTTGGTTTTTTCTGTATTTATAATGCTTATGTGCTTATAGGTTTGGTTTTTTTTCCCCCTGTATTTGAGAATTATTTTCTGTATTAAAAAGATTTGAAATAAAAAAAAAAATTAGTTTGTTTATTATTTATTATTTGGGTTTACCTTGAGAGTAATTTGGAAAAAATAATAGGGTATAATGAGAGTAAATGAAATTTTAAATAATTAAAAATGATGTACTTAAAAATTGGGAGTACTTAATGATTTTTTTGGTGTAAATAGAATCCCCCTATTATTATGAATGTTGTTAATAAAACACGAGATTTTTTAAATTTTAAATATTTTTATTTTACATATTTTGATTTAAATTGTACATACTTTTTAAATTTTAAATTATTTAACATATAACAAAATTCAATTATAGCAAAAGAAGTGATTGTATTACATAAAAACCTTTAAGTGTGGTGCTGGAGAACTTAATTAATTAAGGCATTTGATTTTGTGTCTGTGTAATACTACTGTGTGATGGAATGTTGCAGGTTCCATTTTTATGAAAAAGAGTTTAATGTTTATTTATTCTCAACTTTGATTTAACATAAAGGTAATAAAATAATTAGTGTGCAGGGGTGATTTCCGCACTATGAAGAAGGGTTGAACTTCGTGGATAAACAACAGGCTTTGGGAATTGAAAATCTGCACAGAACAACAAACGGTGAGGTTGCCCGACCGGGGTTTGGTCGGAAACCCCTCCGATGGTAAAGTCAGGGACTCAGGGAGAGAAAAAAGAGAGAGGAGAGAATACAAAGAGTGTATATGTGTTAAGTGTGTGGATTTCGGATCCCCTGAGAGTGAATAGTGTTCACCTTTTATAGGAGAAGGTTGTTTGTCGTTCAAGGTCCTTCTCTCTCCGCCATCTGTCCAATGTGTCTTATTCGTGGTCGTCTCCTATTGGAGGAGGACGACCACTCTGCCTGACACTCGAGTGCAGGTCTGTTTTGTTTGTCTCATTAGCGGACATCTCTCATTGGAAGAGGACGACCACTCTGCCTGCCATTCGGATGCAAGTCTGTCATATATGCACCTTTTCCCCTGCGCCTCCATGTCTCCACATTCTGTTCATACAGAGGGGGAGAGCAGGGTTGTTTGTCTCTTGTGGGCCCAAGAAAGATCTTTAGTGAATTGGCCTTCTCTAAGTTGGTCTGCTCTAGAACGGTTGTCCAACTAGGAGGTCCAATATGTTGCTCAACCCACTTCGGAGTGGTTCTGTCCATCCGGAAGGTCCACCATGTTGCCCGGCCCACTTTTAAGTGATGCTCGTACATTGGGCCGAACTCCTATGATTGTCTTGCTTCGGAGCAAGTGTTGACCATAGGGCTGAGGTCCGACCTAGCTCCACCTTGGAGTGAGTATTGCATTGGGCCTAACACCAAGACTTGATTAATTTTCACCCACTTCAATTAGATTTTTTTACTCTTAATATTGAGAAGAAACACATATTCATGCAATATAAATAAATAGCTCAAAATATGATCAACAATTTCCAAATTCAAAATCCACATTGATTTTCTCAAATTTTCTTCTAGATAATTTCCCAAGGACTCTTAAATTGAAAATCATTTTCCATTCCAAAATTTTTGTCATATCAAAAGGATTACTTAAAATAAAGCTGCACAGCCAATTAATAATAACAAAAAATTTGACACATCATGTTAATCCATTCCCCCAAAAAATTCCTTTCAACTGCTTGTCATTGTATCAGTACTCCGCGCCCATACTATACCATATGCACCTAACAATTGTCTACAAACAGTTCCTTCAATTGGGCTGTATCTTTTTGACTGTGCTTTAGTTTGACAAATTCAAGCAGAAAAGGAGGAGCAGTAATGAACAATTTTTTCTTCTTTACTTTAATTATTTCTCAAATTTGGTGTGCTTTTGTGGTGTCTGCTTTTGCACATATTTTACTATAATTTTTTGGATTTATTTAGAAAATACATCTATTGGTTAATTGGTAAGAGATTAATTATAAATTTGAAAAAAAAATTATATTCATTTGAACAACACATAACAAAATCTAACCTCCACCAAGCCCAATAATCACCATAACAAGTAGTTTAAACTTTAAAAAATAAAAATAAAAGTAAAAACCGGGAATAGCTAATTTGTCATTGACAATGATGAACTCTCTAACCTCCTAAATAGAAGTGTACACAAATGGCCAACTAATAAGCTAACCCATATTCCAACGAATAGTTCTAGATACACATAGCATATGGCATAATGGATCACAAAATATTTGTACTGGTGTGGGTGCCATAGTGGGTCTCACCCATTGTGAGTGTTTGGTAATCTATTTTGTACAAGCACCTTTATAAGAACAATATGAATTCATGTGGGCTTGTACATGTAAAATGTGTAGCTCATGAGACTATTTAGCATTAATTCAAGGAATTATAAAATTTAGGAAGTTTGGGATTCAGAAATTGGGTCTAAATTTTTGTGCCAATTCAAGTGTGTAATATTGATATTAATTTTGAATAATTTTTTTGAATTTGTAATAATATTGTATAATTTTTTTGTGAAGAAATATCAAATCGGTGGAACTGTCAAAGATTATATACATTTTCATGATAATGCAACTTTAATGTGTGCATGGTGTAAGTACTCAGAGTTACACCACAAAAAATTTCGTCTCTCATGCAATATTTTCTCCACTGTTACATTTTTTTTTTTTTTTTTTTTTTTTTTTTTTCCCCTTTTTTTTTTGGCTTCTTCAGCAGTGTTGATTGAGGTTCAAGTGTTGCAAAGGTCTCATATTGTTATTCTTCTTAACCACAAATGTATCATGTTTTGCAGAACTTTCAATTCATTGTATTTGTAGCAACTTTCCGTTCTGTGTTTGGAACAAGGGGGGGGGGGAGAGAGTTTTAGAGAGGAACAGATGCCTTCTCAGAAACACATTAGTCATTAGGAATTGAATGATATATAAATGAATGCAAATTAAAAGAAGTTCAGGAGTTGTTGTTGCACTGTGAGAAGGGGATTCAGTTGCCAAGAAACTACCTCTCCCTCTCTCTCTCTCTAGACATCATGGATTACAAATTGGCTATGACTTATGAAGGGAGTGTTTGACACGGCCAACAATATTAATGGACATTTTTATATTAACGTTGATGAGGATTCTAAATTGGGTTTTGTCTGCTAGAGAATCAAGGAAATGTTTGAAATTCTAGATGTGTTTCTGGTGAAGTGTTTGACTTGATTTGTTATTGCTATTGATTTCTACATCTTTGAAGACTCAAATATGACAGGATAGATAGCATTGAAAATTTGAACTATCTAGATAGATACATCACCCTCATACATATGTACATGCGGACATACATTCATCTATACATACATATATAAGAATTTGGTAGAGAATTGGAGAGAGAGAGAAGCATAGAGGTTTTATATGTAAAGTGGGTTTTTGAATTGGGTTGGTTTGTATGATCAGAGAAGTTGAACGTATTTGAAGTTTCAGAAACTTTTGATTAATTAAAGCAGAGTACTATATTGTTAAGTGAAGCCAAAAAGAGAGCATGCACTGACATTGGCAGTTTGAGTTTGAGAAGTTTGATTGTCTCTCTCTCTTTGTTGTGAGTTCATGAACCTTTTTATCGTTGGGTATACTTTTCTTGGCTCCTTCTTTTCCTTTATATGTTCTTACTAGTTTCCAGGTGTTATCTTTCTTTCTCTCTCTCTAACTTTTGGATTATGCAAAACTGTGAAGGAGAAAGTTGTTGATCCAAAAGTTGTTAATTTTTCTTTTTTAACTTTTTAGGACTCTACGCAACCATAGTAGTAAAATGTTGATTTTTCGTTTTCTTTTCAAAAAGAACTTTATTTCGGTAATTTATAAATAAATTTTTAAAATTGTGCCTTACTGGCACCATAGTGATTCTATTCAAATTGAGGTTGCTAGCTTTTAGAAAAGGGTTCTTATACCCACTTTAATTATCTTTTTAAAAAAAAGAAAAAGAAAAAAAACTCAAAAAAAAAAATTTTTCTAATTCACATTCATGCCGCCTAATCGCTTTGAGGGTGACTTTATATTTTCACTTTCAATACTGTGTTCTGCAATTCTAATCATATAAAGCTTCATAGAGCCTTTGAAGTACTGTCATGAAACAACATAGTAGCTAAAACCCTCTCTCTCTCTCTCTCTCTCTCTCTCTGTCTATATATATATATATAGATATATGTATGTACAATTGGGTATGTGTATATGAACTTTTTATTGGTGAGGTTCTCCCTCTCTGTAAACTTTGATGGGTTAGGCTCTGCTTCAACCAAAGTATTTTGGGTCTCTCTTCTCTCCACGCTTTGATGGGTTAGGTTCTCTGCAACCAAGTTGCTTATGACAGTTGTCAAATTTGACAAATGTCAAAGCTTGTGTTAAATTTGACACAAGTTTTGACAGCTGCCATAACTGTCATTTCACAACAAAAGCTTCCCTCCCTCCCTCACGTTTGCCATTTTTGCAGAACAAAAGTTGGAAACTGGTGACCTGCCAGATGTCCCACACACACCAGTTTTTGTGTCCAAATGGCAAAAATGACAACCCTCTATTGGAGCACCATTGTTATAATTTGAGCCAAATGCACTCTTTGTCATAATTTGACAATGATAATGTTAGTATAACATTTGTCATTGGAGATCCTCTAACAATGGGATATGTTCTGCTAGTTTGTTATGTACTTAAAAATACAAATTGATTTTTTTTTATCACTAACACAAAGCATAACTTTAAAAAGAAAAAAAAATTAGTGAGAAATTCTTTTATATATAGTATTAATCTTTAAAAAAAAAAATCAATAAGGTGTTTAAGTTTAAAATGTATTAGTCAGATTTATTTTTCTAAACATTTTAAATTTTAGTTGCTTCATTAAATAATTTTTCGAGTAAATTACATTTCTATTTGTTTGTCTCATATCCTAAATTCAGGGGGTTTGTTGATGGTAATACATTAGTTAGGAAAGCATAATCAGAAATTAGGTCAATTCCAAAACATGTTAAACTTATAATTTTATCAAAAAAGTTTACAATCACAGAAAATTATTTAAAATATATATCAAAATTTGAAATTTATGGTAGATATTTAAAATTGTTGTCGTGCGGTTACACTTTAAATGAATCTAATGATTAAATATTGAATTCTAAGCATTTAAAAAATCATTCTTTGTAAAATTATAGCATTGCTGATTCTATGAAATTACTCAATTTTAATTATTTTGACAGGTTAAACATGGGGTCCACAAATATGACGAAACTGACTGTTTCCCTAATTCTCATGGTGGAAATTTGGGCCTTAAATTTCAATGAAATTGAAGGTGGACCAACGACCACATTTACAAGCTCTCCACTTGGTAAGGACAAAGAAATTCCTTTTTCGTCAACTTAGTCATATTCATACACATTATAACTGAAAATTATTCAGTACAGCACCCGAGACCAGCAATGGCCAATTCGGACCACAAATTTTTTTTTTTTTTTTTGATTTCTCAAATTTATGCCAATACTCTTGTATATGCTAATAATTAAAAAAAATCCCATTTTCCAAATTTCTCAAATTTATGCTAATACTCTTGTATATTCTAATAATTAAAAAATATTCTAATAATTAAAAAAAATTCAAAATTCCTGAATAGTGTAAACTATTCCTTTATTTTTTGAACTTCTTGAATTAAGTAGGACAATTATCACAACTTATTTCAATACCAAGTAATTCTCAAAACTAAAATTTCACTATGACCTAAAGAAAACAACATCCAAAAAAAAAAAATTCATACTATTCGTTAACCGTAAGATGATAGTAATTTAATGATCTTCTATAATTGTTGGGCTCAGACTGAGGTTTTGATTTTGAAGATTAGCTTTGATTTTAAAGAAAAACCAGAGTTGAGCCACAAAAATGTACCATTGTCACTAACAAATTATGGTTCAATGATTTTGTGGTTTTTCTAGGAAGGAGTCTGCTTCAAGCAGTAAACATCTCAGAACCTATGAGACAATCAGATGATACTGTAAGAGTGGATCCTCTAAATCATTTCAAGAAATATAGAGGAGGATATGACATAACCAATAAGCATTATTGGAGTGTAAGTGTTCAATTCTCTCTTTGTCTCCTCCAAAACATCTGTTTGGTTGTGTTTTAGTTTTCATTTTTTCAGAAAAAATAAAAAATTTCTTTGGCAAACTGTTTCTGAAAACTACCCACTTTTTAGGAAGCATCAAAAAATTGTTTCAATCTTTTGAAAACTGTTCTTTGCACAAAAATAAAACGATGTGTGTTTTTGTACTTTTCACTATGTTTGTTTCTGAAAAACAAAAGCACAACTTTTGCTTCCCCAAACAATAACTTTTCCTTGTACTATTTTGTGCAGTCAGCTATATTCACAGGAATATATGGATATGCCATTGGGGTGTTGTGGCTTTTATGTGGTTTGGTATATGGGGGATTTTTGCTGGCAACCTCTTTTTGTTGTAAAAATAGCAATAGAAAGCTGAAGAAGGAGGGGAAATTGTTTTTTGCACAAAAATAAAACGATGTGTGTTTTTGTTCTTTTCACTATGTTCGTTTCCAAAAAACAAAAGCACGACTTTTGCTTCCCCAAACAATAACTTTTCCTTGTACTATTTTGTGCAGTCAGCTATATTTACAGGAATATATGGATATGCCATTGGGGTGTTGTGGCTTTTATGCGGTTTGGTAAATGGGGGATTTTTGCTGGCAACCTCTTTTTGTTGTAAAAATAGCAATAGAAAGCTGAAGAAGAAGAAGGGATCACATTGTCACAAGCAGTGTTATCCTTGGCCCATTCTTTTGGCAACATTCTTCACAGTTCTAGCAATGTAAGTCTATCAGCTCTTTAGTCCATATATAATAGGGCTAATTACACTTTATCCCGTCAATCATAGTTTCGTGTCTGAACTAAAAATTGCAACACTTAGACCTTTATAATGAATATACCCTTTGCTTAGACCCCTTTAGTCCATATATAATAGGGCTAATTACACATAACCCCTCAATCATAGTTTCATGTCTGAACTAAAAATTGCAATGCTTAGACCCCTTTAGTCCATATATAATAGGGCTAATTACACATAACCCCTCAATCATAGTTTCGTGTCTGAACTAAAAATTGCAATGCTTAGACCTTTATAATGAATATACCCTTTATAACAAATTACACTTTACCTCTTTGAACTATCATTCAATATCACTTTATCTCCCTTGGCTAAAATTCATTGCAACGGCTTGCAGATATTATGAATTTAAGAAGCTCAATTGACAATGGCTTGCAGCACTGCTGTATTTGAAACAAAACTTCATACAATGCAAAAAGACCTTATAAACTACAATTATTTTGAACTTGTGAAAGCAATCAAATCCAATCACGATGACATTATAAATGTACTATCCATTTTATCATGGCAGAGTCGCGACTGGATTAGTTCTGGGAGGTAATGCAAAATTTCATTCAAGAGCAAAAAAAGTGGTAGACATTGTCATTAACACAGCAAATGATGCATCACAAACCATATATAACACAACTGGAGCAATGAAAGACATCAGTACCAACTTGGAAGTATCTAATGGAAGTAGTAGTTATACAGGCTTGCTTACCTCCACATCCCAGAAGCTTGACTCTGAAGCTGCAGTTATACAAAGACAAGCCAAGAAGAACAGGCATGCCATTAACAAGGGCTTGAAGATAGTGTAAATCTCTCTCTCTCTCTCTCTCTCTCTCTCTCTCTCTCACTCTGTGCATAGCCATAATGTTTGTTTCTTTTTGCAGGTACATATTAACTGTAGTGATTATTTCATTCAACTTGGTTGCTGTGCTTGCCCTATCAGGTGCATATATGCTTTAGAATACTTGTCCTTCATTCAATTCCAAACCTACTTCAAATCATACCATTGTCCATACTTACGTTACTAAGTACACCTATTCACGTGGAAAGTTTATATATGAAATGTTAGAAATTCTATATTTTGGTAATCTTTTTGAACTCGAAAATGAAATGTTGAAATATTCACAATTTAGAACAACACACAGTGGTCAGCTTTCCTAAATTTTCAGTTTTATATATTTATCATACTGAAAGTAATTGTACTATGAATGAAATTTCTTCAATGCAGTGTTTGGAATCCTGAGATTACAAAGAGCACTTTATGTGTAAGTGTGCATTAAGTTTTAACCATTTGACTTCTTGGAGACCTGCTTGTGAAATTCATTTTCTTCATTTTCTCATAAAGTTTTTCAAATCATACAGGTTTATTGTTCTCTGTTGGTTGCTCACAATCCTGTGCTGGTTTTTCTTTGGGGTGTATTTCTTCATAGAAAAGTACAGTCAAATTATTTCCTTCTCTTGAGTTCTTAGTCTTACGAGAAAGAATACTTTGTTCTGAAAATAAAATCAATTGATTTCAGGTTCGAGGGAGATACATGCACAGCTCTTGAAGACTTCCAACGAGATCCTTATAATAGCAGCTTGAGCTCAATCCTTCCCTGTAATGAACTGCTTTCTGCAAAATCAGCCCTGTCGGATGTCAGTGCTGGGATTTACAACCTAGTAAATGAGGTAAAAATAATGACATGTTTTTCAGAAAAAACAAATTGAATCAATTTAATTCAAGTCCCTATATATTTTTCATTTCTTTTTTTATTTTTAAACAAATTGATTCAAGTTACTTCAACATGACCCCTTGATTCTACTCAATACGAAGTATCATCTTTTCAACTTCTACAGGTGAATGCAAACATATCAACATCATATCAAAACATCGTTCAAGTCTGCAATCCTTTCTCAGAACCACCAGAGTACCAATACCAACCAAATAGCTGTCCATCTAATACAATAAAGATAGGAGACATCCCTCGGGTATGCTCAAAGAAAAGGCACATTATTTTTCCATAACTTCAAGCTCATCATAGACATTTATATATATAAAAACATACATAAACTTACATATATTGATATGTTAAGTATGTCTCGACAAATACTTAAGAGTGACCTATGTCAATACAATCTTTTGTTTTCTCTTCTATGTTTTGAAGGTATTGAAGACGTATACATGTTCAGATGCGAATAGTGGAACTTGCGAAGGAGTGTTAATCTCCACTAACGATTTTAGAACAGTGGAGGCTTACTCAAATTCAATACAGACACTACTAAATGCATATCCGGGTATGGAGAATTTGGTACAGTGTCAGCCTGTGGAGGAAGCTTTTTCCGAAATCCTTCAGAGACACTGCAAACCATTAAAGAGACACACACGGATGGTGTGGGCAGCATTGTTGTTTCTCTCAATTATAATGGTGGCTGTGGTTCTAATATGGACCGTTGAAGCTCATTATCAGCAAAAACGTCAATTTTCAGATTGTTCGGTGAAATCTCATTCCATGGAAGCAGAATTGATGGAATCTGGAGGAGCTAAAGGAACTAGAAAGGATTCAAATCTTAATTCAGTACTGTAAATTAAGTACTGAGAAATTTCTCTAGAATTTTGTAAACACACACACACAACAAGTGAGTTCAAAAAAATCTTGCAAGAAAAACGAAAACAGATCACAATTATCATGAAGAATTACATGATCGAAAAGATCTTGGTGTAGGGAGTTAGATTTAGGTCTGATAACAATTTTTGTACAAATGATATCTATAAAAAGCCAAATATGGGGACAAACCCCTCAATGGCTTGTTAGGATATTTCAAGCAATTCTATACATTTCATATTATTCTAATTTTTTTTCATCAAATGTTGTCAAAAATCCACGTTATAGCTAAACAAATCATCCATTTTAGATCCTATTTATCCCAAAAAGTAAAAATAAAAATTAAAGTTTTACCATCAACATATCCATGGACTTGTTACTTGTAAACACTAAAGCATTTTTTTTAAAGCAAACTATAGCATGTTTTATATATTAAGAATAATAAAATTTGACTATGGAATCAATGATAACTCAAGCTTGGTTTATGTGGTTATAGTAATATCATGAAACCATCAGAACATGAAAGAGGAAAGTTCATAATGGTGATGAAAAATACACAATTAATTTCAAGAGCGCAGTTTAATCTGACTTAAAAACATAAATAATACAGAAAAAAAAATTAAAAACATTATTGTATTATTTTTAAAAGCATCTTAGCCATGTTTATTAATGAGACGGCAAAAGTAAACAAATTCTACAAAACTAGAAAGCCTTCGGCAATAGCCTCCTAGAACACGAGAAAAATTGCTAAATTCAATCAGGCTGCTCAACCCAATTGTGTCTCAAAATTCAAAAGCCCTGCCTAGTCGAGTTGGTTTGGTTCGCAATCAAACCACAACTGAATGGAGCTAAGTCAAACCAAATTGTGAAATATCGGTTTGGTTTGGGTTGGGTTGTTTTTTTTTTTGTTTTTTTCTTGAGTAAATTACATTAACCTCCCATGAGATTTAAAGAAATACAAGGATCTCCCTTGACATTTTTTAAAGGAACATTAAAAGACAAAACCTTCCTCACCTGAATTGTTGTCAGCCAAATGCAGTTGACAAATAGCTTTTTTCTTTTACACTTTTACCCTTAGTTATTTAATATTTGAAGAATTTGGTCAAAACTCACTTATAACAAAACTTTAATGCATTAAGGATAAGGACAAAAAAGATTTCTTGAAAAGTCTAATATTTTGGTATGTATTAAACTTTAAAATTAGGGAGAGGCTTCTCCCTAGTTGATTGGAACATACTATTGGGCCCATATTGAGTATTCAGAATGACTTCTTGTTGATTTATCGTCGAAGTGCCCTTTAGCTGACTACACAACTAGGCAAGCACTAATCTCAGATTTACAAGCATACATCTCGGCTTATCCATCTTCTGAGTTTGGCATCATTTCCCAACATCAGGAGGAAGGTGCTCAATATCCATGTGATACAAATTTTAACCCACAATTTAAGACGAATCTAGAAAAGAACAAAAAAAAAACTTTTTATAAAAACCAACAACTAAATAATATTTAAAAGTAGGGTATATTATTGAGAAAGTATTTTTCTTTTCTTTCTTTTCAAACCAACCAATGCAAACATACTATTAAACCAACCAACAAGCATACAATTAAATGATTAGACATGTCATGCCAATAGAAGATAAGACTAGAGTATTGAATTTCTTATTTTATTAATTTAGAGACGAATATCTCTCTGCTTTTGATGTGTACATTGATCAAGCAACCAATTTAATCAACTAAATACACCACTTTCAAATTAAAAACTCATAGATTACAACACAAATCATTTATAAATGATTAAAGATATGATCACTCATACTCTTTTACAAACGTCACCCCAAAAAAATATTTTAAGCAATAAAGTAAGAGTTTTATATTGTAATATAATATAAATACTTTGATGTTCAGTTCTTTTGGTTGACTGTATAACAATTTACTAACAAAATTCTATTAGGCATAGCTTTGTGTTATCAAAAGAATAATAAATAGATCAATTCGATATTGAAATATTAGGTATTGGTGTGCCAAATGGGAATTTTATGAATTGAACAATTATGGCGAGTTGATGATTTCGGAGGGAAGTAGTGTCTATTATTCAGTTGATGGAAGTCTTGCTTTATTGCTTAAAATGGAATATCATTTCAAGCTAAAGAAGAGTATTAATTGTTATAAGCTTCCCCCAAGAACTTAAATGGAGAATGTGCAATTGGAAGCATTTAACAATGTTTAAGAGCTCATGAATTTTGATACATAAACAACAAAATAGATGTTTTCCTATTTTGCATTATCACCATTTCAATAAATACCCACAAGTTATTAGTCATTTGATGAATTAAACTTAACTACACAAAAGTGAAGACAAGATGATGTTTCAATGATGGATTCTATTCATGGGGATGTTGGTGTAATTAATGCAACATTGCTATTGTTTGCTCTAATAAAAAAAAAACATTAATGTTCTTTGTTGAGTTTGCAACCTCCCTATTTATAGTTGAACAATGAAGACTTGAGGTTTCACTTCTCTCCTTATTTATAGTTGTGACAACTAAATCCTTACCCTACATTTGTATGCTCATCTTGTTGTATAAAACTATTTTCTAGAAAATTGTAATAAAATATCTTCAGATAACTATCTAGAGAGATCCTAGAAAAATAAAATACCTAGAAATTTTTATCTAGAGAAATATCTAAGGAGAAAATATACTAAAGAGAGAAAATGAGAGGTGTGGAAGTTTCTAGAGATGTGTGGAGAGTTGGTGTTGATTTTAAACATTCGCAAACAAAAACAACATTTTGGAAGGAAACCTAAAGACATCGCAGGTGGAAGCTCATACATTTGGAAGTTGTTGCCTCTAATCTTGCTCCTATTATTATTATCTCGATAAAATCGTAGAGAAGTTGGTATGTTCGGATGGCAGTCATAGATGAAAGTAGTTTCCCTCACTTGGATTTGTTTTCACAGTTAATCGATCTACATTGAAGCGCATCACTAGGAAGCATGGTATCTTCCTGGAGTTGTTGGTCTGTTCTGTAGATTCAGCTTCTCAACTAGCCAATCTGAGTTGCTCCAATCAACATATCGGAAGAAGAAAAATGATTAGTCACTCGTTCACAGAAAATTTGACCACAGGAGGGCATGTCCCACACCGTAACACATGTTATAACCATATGAGATTAAGTTTTTGTTATGGATGGTCAATTTTTTGTGTAAAAGTAGTGTATGTATACTTCAAATAGGTACCTCTTTAAGGACCAAAAACTGTTGCATCAAGGATTGAAATGGATGAGCAGCCCAGTGGAGAAAAGTATTGTACTATTGGCCACATTTGTTAATCTTTTCATATAAATTTGACACTTCAATGGGGGTATTTGTTTCAGCTTTTCAGAGCCAACTTATGACTTTTAACTTTGAAAAAGTTATTTTGAACTGTTTGGTTAAACTTATTTCAAACAGCTTCTGATTCTAACAGCTTATAACTCAAAAAAGCTGATTCTGAAAAACTGCTCACCCCTTGCTTCTGATTATCAGCTTCTGCTGTAGACATGTTAATTTATGGTTATGCTCTTAAATTTTTTTATTTTTTCTTTTTTTAAAAATAAAAAAAGATTTAAATGGACTATAGATTATTATTATTATTTTTTATGAGAAATGTAGACAAACAAAAAATAAAAATTAATTGAAAAAGCTATTTCACAGCTTATTTAACAAACACTATTCAGCAACTTAAATCTATAATCCAACAGCTACACCAAACAGATTAACAACTTCTGATTAAAGTCATAATCTATAATCTGTTAAGCTATAATCTATAAGCTGTTTTAACAGCTACACCAAACGGGGCCAATATAAGGTCCCTAGCATTGTCGATCTTTTGAAGATCACATTATGAGGTCCAATTGGCAGCCAAATCGAACAACCAAGAGGATTTGACAACAATTTTATCACAAAATGAAAAAGGAAAAACTTGTAACAACTTCTACACATGAAGGCATCTTGTCTTGGATGCTAAAACAGAGATGAGAATAGAAACCTAATTTATTATGAGATATAACTGCACATCCTTTTAGAACCGAAACATTTGAAGTAAAAACCATGTGGCTTTCATGAGACTGCAAGTACATGATCCTATGGAAACAAGAAAAGCAATTCTAAATTGACTAAGCGACAGATTGCTATCTTTCAAATGATAAATTGCAAAAACTTCAGGATCCCAGCAAAAGAAAGGCTACATCCAGAGATGTGTAGCGCTTCAATTCAAATTTCCTTCATCCTGCAATACAATACAATTCAACCATAAGAAGAAAAATCATGAGTTATTGAAAAGGAAAAACAAAACTAAAATAAAAACAATCTAAATAAAACAATAGAATTCATGGAAGCAAGGAAGGGCATTGAATATGCAGCAAATACATTTTGAAACTGTTGAAGAAAAGTGTTAGCAAAATTACCAGACAGTTTAATTTTGGCATCATACAAATGGTAAGTTTCTGGGCATGTTTGGTTTGTCTCTCAAAACATGCTTTTGGAGAAAAAATTCCAAAATCACTTTTCTCTTTACTACACATCAATCAATCACTTTTCTCTCTTATCTCAATCACTTTTTCTCTCACACCCATCTATTCAACTACAAAAAAATATCAAATCGTTCCAAATTCCAACACTTAACACTCCAAAACTCCAAAACTATTTTCAAAATATACAACCAAACAAAATTTCTAAACTCTATTCTAAAAATTATTTTTGAAATAATATCTCAAAACATAAACCAAACAAGGCCTCTGAATCTCATTATTAAACTTCCAAGCATCTAGGGATGACAACTTGTGAAACACAAAGAAATGAGGTTGGGTAGCGATTGAAAAAAAAGGCACAACCCACCCAAATTGAGTTCTGTTAATTCTGTTAATCTGCCCCAAATATACAACCCATAAGGGCAAGCAGCTCAAGACAACAAGCATTTGTACTCTCTTACAAACTTATCGCCAGTGTGATAACTATATGATATATGATATCTGATTCTAAGTTGAAATTTCATAAATTACTTTGTTTAAGCCAGTTGAGTTGAGTCATTTGCCTGGATGATATACCACATTGGCTTTTGGAATGGGAGTTAGGTATGAATGCTTCAATAACAGGCCTCCCCACCCACATCAGCAATCTCACACTCTTGTAGCAATATGCATGCGCTGCGTGCACGCCACTTCATTCCTTCAGCCATTTGATTAGAGTCATGTGTCTTTGCAATTAATTTCAAACTGAACCGAATAGGGTGCAGAACTTGTTCCATGTAAGGGACTATATTTCTCTTCTCTCCCCACCTATCTAAGTTGGGACAGTTTTGGGGTGCAAGTCCTGATCCTCAAGTAAGGGTCTGGAGAAGGGTCACCCGTGTCAAACTGGAATGATGATTTCCATCCCCAGAAGCATTGATAGATATTTGATAGGAAAGCAAACTCTCCTAAGGCAGAAGGAATTACCAAAAGGAATCATGTACACAATACATAGTGAAAAAGCATTTGAAATGAACATTGGAACTCACTCCATTGAACTTTTTAATGAGTTTGTTCAAAACCAGAGTTTAAATACAATAAAGGGATCTTCTAGTACCTAAGAAAACCAAATTTTAAGATAATTTGTGGTTCCATGGAAATAAAAGCAGCAACACATTCATCTAAGGAAACCTTATGTGGTAGTTCTTAAGCAAAATATTGATTAATTCTAGTGTACAAGATGCGGGTGAGTGGACAACATAGGCGGTGCTTGGCCTAAGTAGCATAGGATACTTCAATAAAGAGCCACATCCATGTCAGACACATTATGAACATGGAAACTTCATTGATACTTTTAAACAAGTGCCTAAGACTTCTTAGCGGTCCCCATAATTGAAATATAGATTTTATATAGTGAACTTGGCTAATAAGAGTAGCTCTTACACTTGAGAATAGGATTGGCATAGTAGAAGTTCCCAACCTTTTTTTTGAAGGGAAGGGGAGTGTATAGGAGGGGCAAAGAAGACAAGAAAAGATATTTTGACATCAAGTATATGGCCATCACAATTCAAGCATATGACAAAGACTCTCCAATAGAAAATAAAATGAAATTATGCATAATTGAATTATTTAAATGACATTTGTCTGATTAGTTAGCATAGAAATTTTAAATAATTATATTATCACATCCTACTCTCCTAGAATTTCATGAATTATGTTATGTCCATGCATGATTTTATCTCCATACATTATGAAAGCATCGCAGACAAAGTTACTAAAGCAATGTAATTGTTGCGTCAAAGTTGTATATCTAATTTATTTAAGTTTAAATGTTTATATGATTAGGTTTTCATACACAATAGATTCAAGATTCTCCATTTTGGGCACCGAATAGAGATTATCAACACACACAAACACATCCACTGTGCCCTAAGATAATACATTACACATTAAACAAACAGTAAATAACTGAGAACTGGGTGGGTAGAGAAGAAAAAAGCAAACCCTAGAAAATACAACCACACAAATGAGCATTGAGATTTAGAAACAATTTAACAAAATTGAGAATTGGTGATCAAAACCCAGATTGAAAATTGAGAAATTTACCTGATGGGGGGTGGAATTGGAACGAATGACTGGTTCAAGGTTAGAGACTCTGGTGTCTAGGGCATCGAACTTCTGCTTCAACTGAGTAAAACAAACAAACAATACACATAAATCATAAATGTAAGTAAAATTATGCATAAAAAACGAGATTTTAGAAATGGGTATTTGGGGGAGAAGAGATTTAGTACTTGGCAAGAGAGAGATTGGCGATCGGACCAAATATCTTTGAAGACGAAGTGAGTGATTACAGCAGAGGCCGATGCGAATCCGAAGGTGAACCAAAGCAACCTTGTTCTCATCATTTTGTTCTTGATTTGATGATCAAGGGTCGGGTTTTGGTATGAACTTCTCACAGCAATCCAACTCTTTTCTTGCTTCGGGGGTTTTAGCAAATTTTGCGCCTCTTTTTTAAAGCCTGTTTGATCAGTTCGCGTTGTTTTGCTAAACCGACCCCGTTTGGTATTATTTAATTTTTTTTAATTAAATAAGTTAAAAATTATAAATTTATTTGTTTTGAGCTTAAAAAATTGTAAAAAAAAACAAAAAAACAAAAACAAAAAAATGGATCTAAATTACAAAATTGCAATTTAAAGGAAAATTTTAGAATAATTCCACTATAAACAATTAGATAGAATATTTTATAATTTGATGAAATAATTGTAATTAATGTTAGAAAGAATAAGATGAGGTAAGAGTTGTAGAGGACTCATAATGGAAATATCAAAAATTTGAGAATGGTGCACAAAGAAATTAATAGCAGTCGATTAGGGTTGGAAAAGAGTGTCATCACCATAAGAATGTATTGATGGGGTTGATTTTAAAGAGAATGAAAGAATAGAGAGAAATGGACGAAGTAGACGTAAAATGAAGAATACAATTGTAAATTTATAAGGATTATGCTCATTTGATTGTAATTATTTTGCAAAAGATCACTTTTAAATGAAATATTTTAGAATTTTCATCATTTTGTAATTTTTTTTATAGATATCTTTTTTTTTCTTTTTTAAAAAATAACAATTTTAATATTTGTCAACCTTATTGATTTTGTAGATTTAAAAATTGAAAAAAAATCCAATTTTATTTATTTGTTGGGATTCACTCGCTTGAAATGCAATGGGTCTTAAATTAAAAGGAGAATTTAAGACCTGTATTCGGGTCCCCATTGCTTCTAAGTGTGACATTCTTGTGTTTCTCTATTCCAGCTCGCTGATTTTAACATTAGGGGAGCTTTACCTGGGATTGGTGTCTGCCTAAGCCTGAGCTACGTCTTTTTTATTTACAAATAAATAAATAAATAAGTAAAAAGAGGAGAATTTTACAATATAAATTTCATATCATATGTACTTTTAGTGACGTTATTTTCTTATTTAATTATGATTAATTTTCTTTTCTAATTATGATATTATTTTTGAGATATTTAATTATATCTCATGTTTAGTAATAATTTTTTTTTTAGTTATAAAATACATCTGTACCATAAGCTTTTCCAAATTAAAATTATATAATTTTTAACACCCTCTCCAATCTAACACCAAATATTTCATCAAATTTAAATTTGATAAAAAAAAAACTCACATTTTGCCAGCACCAAATATTTTATCAAATTTAAAATTTCTCAAATCTTTCATTAAATTAAAGTTAAATTTATATTTTATTAAATCACTGTTTATAACCATTGAAATTATAAATTATATTTACTACAAATTATATTTATCACCAAATGACAAGCCAAATATTCCGCCGATTATCTCCCAGATGACCATTTCTTTATAAAAATTTATGATAAAAATTAGGGTAAATTACATATACCTCGCTTGAGATTTAGCTAAACTATAAATATTCTTAAGGTTTCAAAAATTACAAATATCCCCTAAAGTTTATATTTTCATAACGAATTGCCCTCTGAAATTTATATTTTCATAATAAATTGTCTTCTAATTTATTATGCAAATATAACCTTTACGAATATCTGTAATTTCTCAAACCTCAAAAGAATATTTGTAATTTTACTAAAAGCTCGAGAGTATATGTAATTTGCCCTAAACATTATACTGGCTGATCGTCCCCGGTTGCCCTCTCTGTGTCGACCATTCAAAATCACTCCATTGAAATGCGCCAGTGATATCAAATTTTTTTTATTTTTATTATCAAATTTAAGTAAAATTTGATAGAGAATTTAAAATAAAACTCCACTATGTGATAGAGAGAAACTCGAAGGCTAGAAGAAAGACGGAAAGTCAAAGCAGTGAGACAATGACAACAAATGGAGGAAAGCCACGAACACGATCATGAATGTGATCACCAGCCGCCACCATCTCCGGGAGTGAGTCCAGACCAACTCAAGGACTGCATACAAGAATTACTCAAATTCACACTGAATGGAACCCTTGTTGGCCTCGACATTGGGCTATCGAAAGACTACTGTTCCAATCTCCTCAAGGATGACCCAGTTAGCCCTAATCCCAATAATACCTCTCATACTACTGGTATGGTAATCATCAAAACTCCCAAGTCTTCAGTATGAATAAACCATTTGACATCAAATTATTTGCTTTTCTTTGCCCTTTCCCAAAGCATTTTTTAATTCCTAAGCTAGTTGGCACCTTTCTGTTGGCTTTTTTTTGGCTTTCAAAGGTTAATAGTGTCAATTTAAGCGTGCTAGTAAGAATCAATCAGTCCTTACAGAATTTTAATTGCTAATTAATTATCAGACGATTGTGTTGAAATTCTTTAACTCTCAATAAAAGTCACAGGTGGCTTGTTTTAGGAGAAATTTATAAGAAATAACAAGTACAGGACAATTCAGAAGCTAAATTTCATTGAGTAAATAGGAACTTATAATGAAGTGACCCATCCTTAGAAGGTTTACAACAACGACTACTTAAAACTACTCGTAAGAAATGAAGTGCAATATAGGAATTGAACTATCGAAAAAGTAAAGAATTGAAAATGTAAAAACTGAAAGGAAATAAGAAATAAATAAATTAGTTTATGGATCTCTGAGTTCTTTACAATGCAGTCATGAATGGCTATTTATAGGCAATTTGTATAAAAAACTTCCAGCAATAACTACTCAACAACCACCTAAAATTACCCAATTTTTCATCTTCATTCCTACATTGCCACATATCTCCATGTCTTCATAACTTCTTTTAACCTCCAATTAATGCTTTATGTTCTCCACTTTGTCCTCCATGTTCTTCCACATTATACTCCATGATCCTCCACATTTTCCATCATTTTTTCACATATGTTTAATGATTCATAACTTCTCATAGCCGCCAAATGAGTAGGAGAATGTCACGTGTCCTGTAATTTATCAATAATAATAATTACAAATTTATAGTGCCAACATTACCCCTTGACTCTTTCAAAATGAGGAATCTCGAATTCATGAAGAGTTGTACATCAATTTAGACCATACTTGGCAATTAATTAATGTATTCGAAGGGAGACAAGCATTCAAAGGTTCTTTTATCATACAACATGATTCAATTTTGTTAAAAAAGAACCAAAACATTGCTCTTAAGGTGCTCACAGCATATTTTAGAAGCTTTAACAGCTTCGAATGCATAATAGCTACCTGCTTGGAGAGTTTATAAGGCTTCAAAACATAATTAAAATAAGTTCACATGCTTCGAATTTTAATGTGTATTTCGAAATTGGATTACTTTGCATGTGTTTGAAATGGTGAATTCTTAGCAAAACATCACCAATTTGATTTAGTCACAATACATGACAATGTTATTTTCTTTGAGCCGTTAGTAACAGTTGACCCTTCTATGCTTTGCTTCGAGATCTTTGATGCATCACGAGACTATGGAAATTTCAAAACCTTTGAAGTATGATTCTTCAGACCTTAACCATATATTTTCACTTCCGGTTGCACTACTTTGAATTGCTTCGAAGTGACAAGCAACATACACACTCTTCAAATTACACTACTTTAAAGTGTTTTGCAGAGTTTTGAATTACCTTCTAACCAAATATATGGACCTTCAAAGAACTTTTTAGGGAGCTTCGAGCCACATTCGAGCCAAATATATGGAACTTTGAAGTGTTTTCGAGTTTCGAATTACCTTCGAACCAAACATATGGACCTTCGAAGTACTTTTACGGGAGCTTCAATCCACCTTCGAACTAAATACATGGAACTTTGAAGTGTTTTTGAGTTTCGAATTACCTTCGAACCAAATATATGGACCTTTGAAGTGCTTTTAAGAGAGCTTCAACCCACATTCGAACTAAATATATGGAACTTTGAAGTATTTTCGAGTTACAAATTACCTTCGAACCAAATATATGGACCTTCGAAATGCTTTTGGCATACCTTCGAAGCGAACATTATACAAATCTTGTAGGTAGGATTCCTTGATTTTCCAGTCAGTGTTGTGAAAAGCGCGCCTAGGCGCAAAGCGCAGCGAGGCACACCCATTGCGCCTGAAAGGGACCCAAGTGAGGCGCGTTTGAAGAGTCGCGCGCCTTGGACGCGACTTGGACCAGGTGCAACGAGGTGCAAGGTGCGAGCCTAAGGGGCTTTTTTTTTTCTTCTTCTTGAATCTGATCTAACGGCTGTGATCTGTGTGGGAGAGGCTCTAACTAGGATTACAACTCATGTAATACAACACGGCAGCTAGAAGAGTACACGAAAGAGAAGAAGAGTAAAGGAGAACAAAGGAAAGAGAAGAGTAAAGGAGAACAAACCTGGTCAGCGACAACTTTGATGACCTCCCTTCGACTTCGCCGACTTCTTCTCGATTTTGACGACCTCCCGTCGACTTCGTCTTCTCAACTTTGATGACTTGAACTCCCTTCGACTTCGATCGCTCTCTCTATCTCTCTCTCCTTCGCCTCTCGCGAGCTCGCGATCTCTCTCTCTCTTCTCTCTTTCTATCTCTCGGCTTCTCTCTGTCTTATTCAGCCTCTATTTTACCTATATTTTATATATAAGTATATATTATCTTATATCTTATATAATATATATTTATACATATTAATAAAAAAACACAAATATATGTATGTAAAATAAAAATAAATTATATTGCACTGAAATTATAAATTATTTTACACTGTTGGTAAAATATAAATTATTTGTAATTATTTTACACTGAAATTGCAAATTATATTAGACTGAAATTAGAAATTATATTACACTGGTGGTCTGTTTTTTTTCCTTTCTCTGTTAGGAAGAAAAAATTACAAATAATTAATTAATCACAAATTACATTACACTGAAATTGCAAATTATTTTCCATTTATTTTCCACACCCTTTGTCTTGATTACTTTTTATTTTTAAAAAAATTGTCTTAGTACTGTGAATGATTAGTCTATGTTAATCTATCTATTTTTTACTAAGATTGTGCGCCTTGCTTCAATAAAGCTCGCATCTCGCCTTGCGCCTAGGCCCCGAGAGACCTTCAGCGCCTTAGTGCACCTTGAGCCTTTAAAAACACTGCTTCCAGTTTGAGCTATTTACAACAAAGAGCATATGAGCTTGGGAATCAATCTTCACCCAATTGTTCCAAAGCTCATTCTTAATTTCCCAACTAGGCATCAACTTCTGCCCATGTTTGGGTGACCTCACTTTGAGAATGGCTTCATAGATGAAATACAAAATTAAACCGCTCCATAAAATTAATTATTGTGTTATGTGGTTGTTCATAAAGCCAAAAGATTTCAGAAATTGAAAATAAAATAAAATAAAATAAGGTTTAGTGGCCAATGCTTCTAATAAATTGGCCACTCTTAGCCAAGTTCTACCTTTCAAACGGTTAGTTTGTTCTTCAGTGCATCAAACTCATCAGAACAATATTTAAAGACGATTGTTTTATTAGCCATTTCATCAAAATTAAATTTTGATGTGGCCCACAAATCCAAAATAGGTTTTGAACACCAAAAGTCATGGCATAATATACCCTTGGAAATTCAAATGCTTTGACATTTTCAACAATCTTAAATATTCTAAATACATCAACAATGGGTTGATCATCATCTGTAATCACGTTTGGTCTAAGAACATATTCTTTGGCCAAATAACTTTCATTATTCATTAACAAATGAAACTTTTTTATTTTATTTTAGCCATTAATAGCTTATGAAAATCCTTCATAGATATGTTATTTCCATTGCTTGATTTTCTAAGAATGGGTTTTTTAATCCCCCAAGCCTTATATGAAACATCATTTTTAATCATATTTGGCTCAACATGTTTTTTAGCCATGTTATTTTCATAAGTTGGCTCTTTAAAAATAGGTTTTTTAACCCCCCGAGCCATTGAGGACATCAACTCTTTCCTTTTGCCATTTTCAATACTAAAAGAATCTTGAAAAAATTCACCAATTCCGGCCATTAAAGCCTCAGTTAAAGACTTGGTAGTGAGAGTTGACAACTCATCACTCCATTGGCGAATGTCCATATCAAGTTGATGAATTTCTCCAATTACATGGTGTCTTTTTTCTTCCACCAAATAATATTGGAAGGGATGAAGTTTATTTCATCAAGAAAATTGATCTCTTTTTGAAGATCTAAAATTTTTTGTTTACGCTAATAGATTTCATCTAGGCTATTTGAAATGGACGAATCCAATTCATTTTTCATTTCTTACACTTGACGTTTCACTGGGCGTGGCAAAAATATATGTTGGCTTTTTTGGCTTTTGAAGGTTAATAGTGTAAATTTAAGCGTGCTAGTAAGGATCAATCAGTCCTTACAGAATTTTAATTGCTAACCAATTATCAGACGATTGTGTTGAAATTCTTTCACTCTCAATAAAAGTCACTGGTGGTTTGTTGTAGGAGAAATTTATAAGAAATAACAGAACAATTCAGAAACTGAATTTCATTGAGTAAATAGGAACTCACAATGAAATGACTCATCCTTGAGAAGGTCTACAGCAACAACTACTTGAAACTACTCTTAAGAAATGAAGTGCAATACAGGAATTGAAGTGCTGAAAATGATAAGAACTGAAAATGTAAAAATTGGAAGGAAATAAGAAGTAAATAAACTGATTTCTGGATTTGAGTCTGGGTTCTTTACAATGTAGCCATGAATGGCTATTTATAGGAAATTTGTAGGAAAAAATTTTCAGCAACAACTACCCAATAACCACCTAAAACTACCCAATTTTCCATCTTCATTCCCACAATGCCACATATCCCTCCATGTCTTCATAACTTCCTTTAACTTTCAATTCATGCTCCATGTTCTCTACTTTGTCCTCCATATTCTTCCACATTATGCTCCATGATCCTCCACATTCTTTATCATTTTTTCACATATGTTTAATGATTCATAACTTCTCATAACCTCCAAATGAGTACAAGAATGCCACATGGCTTGTAATTTATCAATAATAATAATAATAATAATAATTACAAATTTATGGTGCCAACACTTTCGAATCTAAATAATTGTATAAGAATTAATTTAGTTAAGGGTTTGGGTTAAAAAGTCTCGTTTGGGATAGACTTTTTGGCTTTTTTATTTTTGTGAAAGAAAAAACAAAATAATTATGATTTAGATGTGATATTTTGTCTTATTGAACTAAAAAGTCTATTTTGTTCTTTTATGACTATTTTAGCCTATGAAGCATAGACACGGTAAAATCAACGCCGTGGCGGTGTCGGATACGGGGACACGTACGGGACACGCCATATGCCGTGTCCCTTTAATTTAATTGTTTTTCTTTTAGGGGACACGCGTGTCTAGATCTGGACACGGCGTGAGACACGGCAAGGAAGGAGAGACAAAGGAGAGAGTGTGAAGGAAGAGAGTGAACAGAGACAAACCTGTCGAAGATCGAAGCTCCATGAATCCAGTCGAAGATCGAAGCTCCAAGCTCCATCAGTCGATCGAACAATCGAACACCCCAGACGGTCGCGATCTGTCTCTCTCTCTCGCCTTCACAATCTCTCTCTCTCTCTCTCTCTCTCTCGCGATCGCGATTGCGATCGCAATCGTAATCACAATCACAATCGCGACCTCGACCTTGACCTGTCTCCCTCTCTCTCTCTCTCCCTCCTTCTCTCTCTCCCTTGCTTCGATCGCGACCTCGAGGGTTTAGTTTTATTATATAATAACTATTATTATTACATATTATATGTTAAAATCCACCTACTCTCCACCTACTTCACCCACTTAAACCTACTCCACTAAACCTAACCCACTACACCACTACCACCTCACTATTCTAAATATTATTTTTGTTTAAAATTTTATTCATATACATATTAAAAAAAAAAAAAAAAAAACATGTATGTAAAATAAAAAAAAATAATTAATTATTTAAAAAATATAATAATTAAATAAAATAATTAATGTGTATTAAAATAAAAATATTTATAAAAAAATTAAAAAAATTGCCGTGTGTCCGTGTCCCTATTTTTTAGAAATTGCTGTGTCCCGTGTCCGTGTCCGTGCTTCATAGATTTTAGCCAAAAAGTCCCATTTTGTAATATGCCAAACGAAGGCTAAAATGCTAATGAGCAATGATTTTTAGGTTGAGTTGTATAATTATTTAATTATTTTTTTGTAACAATATTTTTTGTTTGTTTTTTTCAAAGTAAACTTTTTAAAAATATTTTACGCTTTAAACACAAAAAAGTAAAAGTAATTAAAGATTAAAATAAAAAAACAAAACTTTTTTTTTTAAATTTTTTTTTTTCAAATTGTTTTACTTTGTTTTGTTCTTCTAGATTAAAGGGACTTGAGAAATAAATTATTATTATTTTTTTTTGGGTTGAGACAAATCTAAAAAAAGTCACTAAAAATAAAATGGAAAAATAGAATAAAATATGATTTTTTTTAGCTAATACCATACAGTCTAAAAATAAATTTTTCTTGAGACAAATTTTTAAAAAATTTATTAAAGACAATAAAAATAAAAAATAAAAAAAGAATAAATTGTGACTTTTTTAGCTTGTGCAAAACAGAGCCTTAAAGCATGTTTGGACACACTTGCATATCAAAAATGCTATGAACCACCTTATCAACTAATAATTTTCCCGATTGTGTTTATGTGGTGAAAATTAAATTGATGAAGTGTGGAGTCAATGAGTAAAATGAATTTGAACCATTGATTCTTTTTTTGGGTAAATTTTGGGGTGGATTTTTAATGTTGTTGCTTGCATATACTTATGTGGCAGCTAAGTGCTAAGAAGCACAATCACATAAACGTGACATGACAATTTTCAAAAAATGAAAAGGGACATGAACACACATAAATGTGCATAACTGCATTTATATGCATATGGAGGGAGATATAGATTTTTTATGCCTAGGGTGGGAGTGCTTAGTGCTGCACTAGCCAGTTAGTATTGCCAATGCCAATAGATAGCAATCTGTTAGTCAATGGCATTCTGATATGAGGAAAGGCATAATTTCTTCATTTTACTTGTATAGGTTTTTCAGAAGGGGTTCCCACATATCCTTTATACAAGCTTCTAGCATCGGCTCTGTACCATTCTATATCTTTTGCAACCTTCCATAGACCATATGACACAATGGCATTGATCCACGACGACACTTCTTTTAAGCAGAAGGAAGATGAGTGGATTGAATTGGTTGTGGAAAAGGGATCGGAATTGCTAAAAGTAAGTTAAAAGTGGTTATGATGTTATTCCCCGTTTCATCTTAATAATTAATAGATATATAAAGATGAAGCAAGTTTCTAATTATTACTGCATATGTATTAGGTACTGAAAAATGTAGACTTTGAACTTCATGTTCAAGAGCCTTTCTTTTCCCAGCTAAAAGGTATTATTAATGTGTTAGTATCATGAGTGTTTGTGCCTGACCATGACTGTATTATCAATCCATGATTGTACTTGGAAATTTAAATTGTTTTTGATTTTTTTACTATTTTGACATCCCAGATGGCGTGAAAACAGTTGAAGGAAGATGTGCTGTTGGTGACTATAACAGGTATGGAATTTTTTTAGGGAGACTTACGTGTAAGTCCTAATAGATGGACTTATTGTCCAATAGATCCTACGATAATTAATGGCATTTTTCATCAAACACTATTAAAAAAAGTCACTAATTATAAATTTTAGCGACAATTTAAAAAAATTGTTACAAATAACTTTCAACAACAGTTTAAAAAATTCATCACAGAAAAATGTCACTAATTGTAAGTTTTTACGACAATTTATAAAAACCGTAATAAAAAAAAAGTCACCAATTGTCAATTTTTAGTGACATGTGCAAAAAATCGTCACAAAAAATTATTTTTAACAACAATTTTATTACGACTTATTTTCAATAGGACTTTATGGGAATTGAGTCCAACTATTAGGAGTTATTGATAGTTCATCCATTTTTTTAATCTTTTTTATATACCAATAATAACGTCCAACTCAGTGAAATTCTATTGCACAATTGAGGGCTGAGGTCAAGCTGAAACAGTTTCCTATATCACCTTGTTGGTTGCTATCAAGTTTTCCTTTTGCATGAGAAATGGAGCAATCTAGGGGGGCCTGTTGCAATGGTTGTGTGAGTGAGATGAAGTTGGCTACAATATTGAACATGGTTGCTTGGCAAGTGTATTGTCTCATCCAATTTCAAGGGCTACACTTCTCTTCCTAATTCTTGTTTATGTTTAACATAAAGCAGATTCAGCTCTCTGCTGTAATTATTGACTTTTGAACCATGAACTTCATGGTGGCATCTTTATTTTATTTTCTTTTGTGCTGTGGGTAGAAACTTCATGGTGGAATCTGCTTACTTTAAGTCAAATATATAATTGGAAAAAGGTAAAAATTGATTACCACATACTAGATTGAATGGTAATGACATATGGAAAACAAAAATGACAATGGGGAGGGATAACAAAAAGCTAATGCAAACCTCCCTCTCCCTCTCGGCACCTCACTGTGTTGTCAATACCAGACGGCTTCCCATGGATTATTTTTTCACCTTCAAAAGCCCATTTGTTCACCAATTCCAGCTCATTTTCTCCGAACATTAACCAACCTTGATGACCAAAATCAAGATTCACAGATTCCGACTGGCCAAGCAAATTCTAAGGCCATATCCTTCAAATGGAGCTTTAATTTATCATCATTATCAGAATGAGTCGGAAAGCTGAGAAAGGCGTAAGTGTAGAGATCGATAGAGGCGGCCACCGCCGTAGATCCGTGGACTACGGCGTGTTCGCCGATCTAGACAGAGAAACAAAAGACAAGGGTTACTGCCGCCGCCCGCAGCTACCTCACCGTCCGCCTCCACGACTCCGAGCCCGCCTCCGCCTACCGGGACCTCCACGACCCCATCGCCGCCGCCTCCGTCGTCCTCGAGTTCTCCGTCGCCGCCGTCATCATCGACCACCCCATCGACGCCGTCGAGCTCATCATCGAGTGTATCGACAGGGCTTGTCGTTGGGATTGCCATAGGTGGTGTTGCGATCCTTGTGATTTTCAGCATTTTGTTCGTATGTTGCAGAACGAAGAAGAGCAGAGATCATGACTACTTTGTTCCTCTCTCTTCTCTACTTTCTCTCCCTAGAACCACTTTACTCAAAACCTGAAATCACCAACTGTCCCACACGTGGGCATGAACGTGTAGTCCCAATCTTGTAACGCGTCCAGTTCGAAAAGTTGTGCCACGTCCACGTTCATCACCACCTCCCTCTTTTTCAGCTTTTTCTCTTCAGGACAGAGCGAACTATATTATCTATCTTTTTTTATTCTAAAATATTCTCCCACCAAACCCTCTTTGGATATTCGTGAATTTGCAGCACAGCATCACCTCTCCTTTTCTTGGACGAGCCAGACACAAAAAAAATGGCAGCCGACTGGTTGCAAAAAGCTCTAACAGCCAGATCCTTACCCTCTGATTGGGTTATCTCTTCTCTCTCGTGTTTTTTAAACCCATTTTTACTTTTCTTCCTTTATTTTCTTTATTTTTTCTTTTCATCCATTTTACCACTACACACTACCAGCGCACATGCTTTCCATAATAATATTATTATTATTATTAAAAAAAAAAAAAAAACAGACGCCGACGGACTGCACACCAAAACTATTTTATTCATTCGGGGCTCACCCCGATCACCGTTTACATCAAAAAAAAAAAAAAAAACAACAAAAACAAAACAAAAACCAAACAACCGCATACCAACAGGTGGGATTCTTTCTTCTCTACTTTGCTGCGGGTCTCTTTCTGCTTTTCTCTTGATCTGTCCCTGTGACTGCCCGCAGCCCATGCTTCCTAGACCACAAGCAAGTTGCCTCCTCCCTGCTCCTCCACTTACAGCATACGGTGGACCTCCAAATTCGGAACATCACGGTGGCCTTCCGCTTCAGCTCCTATTTTCTGCCTTTAGCACACTTAATCTTCTGCCGCGCATTCCTTATACTGCGTTGGAGCAGAGCCAGTTGGCGTTTAACTGTTGCACCTCAATTTGTCCTACTCTGAAGCCGGTGCGACAGTTTTTGTGACCGCCGTCTGTCCTCTCACACATGAACTTCAAAGTTATACTGATTGGCCTCAATATCAGTTTTGCACCGCCATTTGTTGCTCCACAGACGCATCGGAAAGTTCAACGGAAGTAAAACCAAGGTGTTTGGTTGAGGTTCACTGGCCACCGCACCAGTTATTTCTCTTGTGGACTCGTTCAGGTCTGGAAAGAGCGTGAGCAGACCACGGGAAGAGGAGGCCCTGTTCTGGGTAGCTGGACGGGAAGAAGAGGCCATGTTTTTTGGGGTGCTGAGTGTTTCAGCGAAGTAGCGATTTCCGACTGGTACTTTCAGAGAAGGACTGGGCAACAGAGTGTTACAGCGTATCTCTCTCAGAAAAGGAAAAGTTTTTCAGAGGTTTTTAGCAGGTTTTTGTCTCAGCCTCAGCCTCAGCCTCCGTCTTGGTTAAATAGCCAAAGCAGACACGCGTATCGTGCGCCACTTGATGCCAGACGACAAAACGGGCGCGCAAGCCAATGTGGTGACGCGCCTCACCATCATGTCCGGCACATCTTTTTATGACTTGGGCTCGTCTTTTGATGGCACGCCTTTTTATGGATTGGGCACGCCTTTTGATGGCACGCCTTTTAAAAGATTAGGCACACCTTTTGAGGGTGCGACTTTTTAAGGGGTCCGACAAGACTCTGTAAACTGTCCCGACATTGATTCCGGTTAGCTCCTTCATGGGTCCGACAAGACTTTGTAAACTGTCCCGATATTGATTCCGGTTAGTTTCTACAAGGGTCCAGCAAGACTCCGTAAACTGTCTTCTACACCGGTCCGACATGACCCCATAAACTGTCTTCTACATCGGTCCAACACGAGCCAGTGTCTTCTACATCGGTCTGCCATAACCATACAGTCTTCTACAACGGTCTGACACGACCATACAGTGTCTCCTATCCATTTTTTATTTTTCAGATTATTTTCTTGTTTTCTTACTCTCTCCAAACTCAAGTTGGTTAGTTCCTATCCCCCTTGAGTTTGCGGGGGGCTGTTAAAACCTACCACCACCTACTCCACCTACTACACCTACCACCACCTACTACACACCTACCACTACCACCTACTACCACCTACTCCACTACATTTCCTATATAAGGAGCCACTCACCATTTGTAATTAATAACATATATCAATCAATAATACATCTATTTCTTACACTAATTCTTGTTTATGTTTAACATAAAGCAGATTCAGCTCTCTGCTGTAATTATTGACTTTTGAACCATGAACTTCGTGGTGGCATCTTTATTTTATTTTCTTTTGTGCTGTGGGTAGAAACTTCATGGTGGAATCTGCTTACTTTAAGTCAAATATATAATTGGAAAAAGGTAAAAATTGATTACCACATACTAGATTGAATGGTAATGACATATGGAAAACAAAAATGACAATGGGGAGGGATAACAAAAAGCTAATGCAATAAAATGATGTAATAGGTCTCTCTCTCTCTCTCTCTCTCTCTCTCTCTCTCTCTTCCCTGGTGGTTGATGATAAATTCATGTGAAACCAAAACCACGAGCTTTGCAAGACAATAGGTGTCAAACAATAATCTTTTTGGGGGCTTTATTCTTACTGAAGAAATAACTGCCATGACTAGGCTCTATTGCATTGTTGGTGTTATCGAATTTTCCTTTTGCCTAAGAAATGGTGCGATCTGGTGTGGGCCTGTTGCAATGGGGGTGAGAGATGAAGTTGGCTAGAAGACTGAGCATGGTTGCTTGGAAAGTGCATTATCTAATCCGGTTACTTGTCTTCTTCCCATCTTTTGAATTATTCTCAAGAGCTATGCTTCTCTCCCTGCCTCTTGGTGTGTTTAAAACAAAGCATATTTGGCTCTTGGTTCATGGCTAGACTTGTTTTACGTGGTGCAATACTCAAGTTTTTTTATTATTTCTTCTGTTATGCAATTTTCTTTGTCATTTTTCTCCCTCTTTAATTGTGATTTATTTTGTACTAGAATTGTATCAGGAGCTTTGATTCTCCTTAACAAATGTTTGGTGCTTCAAGTTCAGGTGATAACATGTGTCATTCAGTTCTTTTTTTTTCCTTTTTTGTTTTTGTGATGACCTGGGAACCCCCAAGGCCGAGCCCTTTGGACCCAACCCTACAAGCCAACCCAGGGGAGGATGTCGAGGAACCCACCCCGCACCTCCCAATTTCAGTCAAGGGCTATAAAGAGGTTGGTAGAGGTTTCAAACTCAGAACCTATGGTCACGCAGGCCATTACCTTATCAACTCATCCAACCCTTAGGGTTAATTCAGTTCTTTCTTGCTGACAAAAAAAAAAAACAAACAAACAAACAAACAAAAAACAAAAAACAAAAAACAAAAAAGTCTAATTCAGTTCTTCTACACTTTCTTTATGCGTACTTGCCACGTGAATCCGTGCACCTTTATTAATTTGCAGGATGTCTGCCGGTATGCTTCATTTTCTGAGATGTTGGAAGCTGAGAGTCTAACAAAAGTCCTTCCTGGAGTAAAAGCCATTGAAGAAGGTAATTCTATCTTCTTTTTCTTTTGCACAGTGGGGGATGTTGTGTCAAGCTGTTTTTGGTGGTCTTGATTTTAAAACATTGTGTAGAGATTGTAAAACACTTCTGGTTACAAAGCATGGTGGCTTCTTGAATTCCATATTTGTATATGTTGTCAGAACAGAGCTATGACAAGATTCGGAGAGGATTATTGATGAGTGTGAGGTTCCCTACTTTTGAAGTATTTTCTGGATCATATACAATAGTCCACAAGTAATGTAGTGTATGCTTCTTTTCAGGTGTAGAAATCTACCGGAAGTTCTATTCGGAGGAGAAGGAAAGGTCAAATGGTGTTCTTGCAATTTGTGTTACAAAACCAGCTGCTCAGCCTTGTATTTCTTTGGCCAGCATTCTCTCAGTGAGTATGCTTGACCTAAAGTCAGTATGTCTGATTGCATCATTGGATTGACATCACTTAAAAAAAATTTGCATTTGATCGTATCCTGTACAAGTGACAATTTTGATGGGTTATGGAATTTTGTCAATTCTTACTCTTGAGTATTCAAACATGATTACTCAGGTTTTGGTTTCTGCAATATCTTTAATGGTATGAAGAACATAATGGATAACAATAAGTTGTTTTTTTTAATTATTCCTGGAAAGATCTAAATATAATGATTCATGGCAGCGATGTTTCTATTGAAAAGCATGTTTCCTAATATATGGTGAATATATTTATTTTCAGAAAGAAATGCTACTGACAGTGAGAAATTTTTAAAGGAATGTTTTTTATTTTGTTTGGTATTCAAAACTGAATCTTGTAGATCGTAACACCTTCCTTTGGACTGAGCTTGTTCTGTTGGTTGACAATGCTGGATTCTGTACATCATGTTCATAGTTACTCCTTATTGTACCTTGTCAATGTTGGTTTATGGTGCTACCTTTCCATTATGGTGTGGACTGTGGATGGGTTGAGAGTAACGGGTTTATAAGTAAAATGTGACAGCATTCTTCTCACTTTAAGGATCATTTGTATCTTAAAAAGGTTTTTCTTCTCCCTTTTTCTTTCGTTCTTTCTTTCTTCCTTTTTCTCTTTTCTTTATTAGTGGACAATTTAAAATGGCTATAGCTTAATGCAAAATATTAGGATGTCAAATTGTTCTGAAATCTATATAACTGATGAGTGTTAAACTTGCTTGTATTACAATTTGCAAGTAAAAATCTAATATTACATTATTTAAACAAGTTTGTTTGCCTTTTATCTCCAGATTGGGAAGTTGTAAAAAAAACTTTTAAATAGGTGTATCACTTTCAGGTTCGTGTCAAGAACTAACCAACCCTAACCACTAACTTCGTGTCTGATTCATGTTGTGTCGAAAATTCCCACCCCTAGTTGGAAGTCATGGAAATGTGAAGCAAAACTTCTTTCAGCACAGAATGGGAAAACATGTAATGTGATCCCAACCAACCATCTGGGGCTTACATGGGAGACCCCAAGTAATTGGGAGGTGGCCTTCTTGGTTTTGGTAATTATCCATATCATGTACATAATTGTGTTCGAAATGTTTGATCAAAGATGGACATGCCTCTATTGTTGTATGTATCTGCCCAAGGGTCCCTATGTGTCTCTGATATTTATGCCTTCATACAGTCAGGGAGATTATACAATCTTTAAAATTTAAAGATGCCATACATTATGGGGGAGCTTGCACTGGTATGCATATTAGTCCTACTTACAATGGTATGCTAAGCAGTTCTAACTTCAATATTTTCACATTTATTCAGGGACTGAGTTATGGGGGTCTCCAGAGGCTGCTGGGTTTTGTGCATACTGTGGGAACAACTGTGGAGGCACTTCCACCACCAAGATCAACTCTTCTCTCTTCTTTTCTGTTGCCACATAATCCAAATGTATGATGGTGACTTATATTTCACATCTTATCCTTTTTTCACTATACATTTAAAGGATGCATTTTCAATATCTTTGACTTAAGGAATTATAATGCTTGAAATTTGACTATCCAATATTTTCTCAACATTATTAAAAGACAAAAAGGACAAATTAGAAAGCTAGGAAATTTTGTTTTTGAGGCTAAATCCATCTGGCTTCTAAATGAAAAGCTTTTCTGTATGGTGTGCACTATACATCAAAGTGCACATAAGCAGAGAGTCTGTGAAGTAGGGAAAAACCATTTGATGGGTTTAGTGTTGCAAGAACATAAAACTTCACCTTTATAATTTCTTTGAAATGTATGGTTAGTGGTTGATTATTGATGTGGTTTGTTGGTACTTGAAGAATCTTTTTGGGTCGATTTGCACAAAATGTGTTTGAGTTTATTGTTCTCCATTCATGTTGTTTTTAGATAACAACGCTATGTGAGTTTTTTTTTTTTTTTGAGTTTTTTTTTTTTTTTTTCTTTAAAAAAAACAAATAAAAAGTTATTCTTCTTGACCATGTATTCTCTCTTTATTGTCTTGAGGTTGAAAGCTCTACCTTGACTGATGGAGCAAGGGCCTTGGCTAAGCATGTAAATAGGAGCAGCAGTAAATGTTGGGGCACTTATGGCGGGAGTGGTTAGTTCCTTAAGCATAGCTTTTCAAATATTAAAACTGCCGTTGCCCTGTTATTATCTCTATAGGACTATAATCTTCTCATAAATGGGAAAGTGTGATTGCACCTATTCTTATGGAAGTTACCATAGACATTATTGGTTGTCAATTTGCAAGAGCTTGATTTGCAGTTTGAGAGTCACCTTACTATTTGGTCTTGGGATATAATTATTGGAGCTTACAGAATATCATGACACAAAATATAAGAACATCAAGAAGTTTGTAGTGATATTTAGTAATAATTGTATAAGCCAACAAATGTACTAGCAACAGGTTGTAGCATTGTGAGACACATGAAAAACTATGAAGCACGGGCATGTCCCTAGGTGGACGAACATGTTTTTGACGCATATCGAACATGAATTTGTGTTGGACGTGTGCTGACACATTGGACACACATCTATGTTACTTGAAATGTAGATCGTTCCAATACGAGGAATTGAACAGGAACGTAGTATGCCACGTTCTCAAAAATGTGGTATGATGAGGGGTAGTTTGTGTACATCATACTATTGGAATTTAAGATATTTATAAACATGAGAACAAATTTCTTTTAAAAATTAGACATTCTAATAAAATAGTCTATTACATTTCAAATAAATCATGCGATGACCCTTTTTTTTTATTATTACATTTTGTCCAATCAAAACTCCACTCTCTTTGGATTTTAGTTCATTATAGTTAATTTTTTTTTTTTACCCTCCCAAGGAAATAAATTGGAAATAATTTTGGGATCCCTTTGGATTGCTAAATTTATCGTTTTAGAACAAAGGTGTACCATGTTTCTTAATTCTTTCCAGAACATAAATCACTAGGGTATTAACGTTTTCTAGTAACATTGTGTCTATTCGTTACCAATTTTGTAAACACCTACCACCACTACCACCTCACCTACTCCACTAAACCAAACCCACTACACCACTACCACCTCACCTACTCCACTAAACCTAACCCACTACACCACTATCACCATCCACTACACACCATCCACTACACCTACATCTATATAAGGAACCATTTGTAATAGACAGAAATGTATCAATAAATCAATCAATATATCAATCAATAATACATAAATTCTTACAATTCGTTACCAATTTTGTAAATTTATATTATAGCTGCACAAGTGGCAGACGTGTCGGGGACATGTAGGAGCGAAGGCACAACACGGCCAAGGGGGTCACATGACCCCCCTCAATTTTGAATTTTTTTTTTTTTTTTTTTTTTTTTTTTTTTTTTTTTTTTTAAAAAATTTTTTTTTGGTTATTGTCATCTATAAAATGTATTCTCTTTTTTTCTTAACATATTCTTTGGCTAAGGGTTTATTGTATTGTTCACAATAAGTAGTTATTTAATACTTTGAGAACACTATGTGGTATTGTTTATGCAGTAGTTTAAATCAATAGTGTAGCGAAAAATATTATAAATTGGATATAATAAACTTATTATTTTCAAGTAGTTGACATACCACTTAGTGTGATTTGTGATTTTCTATACTTCGAGTATCACGTAGGCAATGTCATATGGTACTCTAAGGCTGTTTAATAATTTTCATTCAAAACACATCATTTATAAGCAATGTCATCTCTTTAATATTTTTCTATCAAATAAAAACTAAATAGATTTTATAATAATTTGTGCTATAAATGATGTGTTTTTATTTTTTAAAATTAGGAATTTTGATTCATAATTTTTTGTGCTAATATTGCAAATTTACATCATCATCCCACACCGAGCTATTCCACACTATTATAGAATTTTGATTTGTTCTTATTAATAATGAATATGTAATTTTTTATGTTTAAATTTATCTCATAAAATTATTATTATCTTAATGTTGCTCATGATTTTTTTTTTTAAATAAAAAATTATAATTAATAAGTGCCCCCTCTAACTTAATTTTCTGGCTCCGCCACTGGGGACGTGTGTTCTTTGTTGACACCACTCAGACATGACAGTGTAACTAGTGTAATTTTGAAAATAAGTCAAGGGTTCAAAGTAAAATAACTTTAGGGCTTTAGGAAGGGAAAAAAGAAGAAAAGGCGCGAGGGCACCCTCACGTTAACAACTAGCTTTTAGGATTGAGGTCTACCCAAGACCATAACAGTATTGTGAGGCTGGAGACCACCAACAAGATTTCAGTTTGTAATTTGAGGATGTTGATGTGCCAACATCAAGAGACTGAGCATAAGTTAATTGAATCAAAACATTTAATCACCTCAATTTGGTTGGTCATTCATCATATAATATGTGTAATCCATTGGATTGAGTTGTTGGATTGATGAGTTCGCTTCGAGTCTCCTTCATCGACAATGAACATGATTTTCATAACAAGAGAAATGAGCATGATTTTGTTTCATTTTTAGACTATTCATGTTGAAAATTTTCTTGATTCATCTCTTTTCTTTTCTTCGTTTTCCTCTCCAGATTCCAATAAAAATAAGCTTGCAAAGGATGCCATTAGTCACTTAATAGCCCACTGTTGCTGGCAGAATTTGCATATTGTTCCACCACATGGGGTTGTCTATGAGATTAGGATTGCTGATGGTTATGGTGCAAGGTGGTCTGAAGATGGAACTAAGGTATAGCAATTTTGGTAAATATACATTATGCATAGAATGGTGGTTAAAATTTGCATGGAACATCTAAGTGAATTAGCTGGGCTTCAAGCTTGACATTTCTGAAATTTGAAGAGGTCTGTGTAAGTAGAAGTTAGGATCACTGAAACGCCCAATTTACAATGAATTTGTGTAAAATTTTTCTCTGATTTTCTCTAATCCTTTGGTAAGGATCAAGATGTGCATATTTATTTTAATAGTAAGTTGGTTCTATTTTTTTAAAATCTATTGTAATGTATCTATGTACTCTTGCAGTTCATAGGATTCCTTGAGCCATACATGGAGGATGGCCACTCAAAAGGATGGAAGCACTAGCTTTACTGAAGGAGATGTACTCTTGGCTTCCTCAATATGTAAGAGCATGCCTTCTAATTCAACGCTAAGTGAGTGATGATCTAGTTATTTTCTGAAATTAATATATTATTAGTATATTATATATGAAGGAAGAATCTAATTCAACAATACTATTACTGAGGATGGAGCCATATAAGGTGTTGGGTTGCTACTTCGGAGAATAATTTTGAGGGAGCTATGATGAATTTGATGATGACGTATTGATGAAGATGAGAGTGATTGGGAACTCTGCTCCAAAGAATGATGCTTTGGAAAGTATATCTTTGCAGGCCACTCTGTTTTATGGGTTTCTATCTGACAAAGATTGCATAAAATTACGCATTAAATTTAAAAAGAATCAAATGCAGGTAAAAGAGTCAACAAGAAAGTTGCTCGGATTTGCATTTGAACAAGCTTTGAATGATCCATCACAATCAATGCCTCCTCTAATGAACATTTAGTGTATGTAATTATCTTGTGGAGAATTGATTGTTGATCTGTTTACAAGATTCTCCAAGGCATATAGCATACGTAAGGAAAAGGACAATTTCTGTTTTCTCACTTCAATTATTTATGTTTTTTTGCTCACTTAATGATCGCTACATCTTATTCTTCTGGTATTTTTAATGGACGTACATAAAATATATTTATCTAGAATTTATATGTGCCCTTGATCTTTGTTTTTTAGTAAATCTGCTACATTCTGCTACATTTAATGTTTCCTGTTGAACATCCTCTTTTTTTTTTCTTTTTTTTGTTGTGTGTGTGTGGGGGGGGTGGTTGTTAGACTGAACAGTACCCAGAGTACAGGTTCTAGGACAATACTCTGTCATGCCTCTTGTTATAGAATTCCTTTATTATTGTTTGCATGTTCAATGAGCAACTAAATAAGTATGAACTATGTTATTTTGAACTTCTGATGTTAATAACTGAGTTTATTTTATTCTTCTTTTTTTATTTTTTACTTTTTTTTCCTGCTAGGTAAAATTTGAACTAAGAACGACTGCACCACACCCACCTTGTAGCACCTAAACTTAGGGTTAGGGTTTAATGTAGTTTGTTTATGAATGCTGCCTTTGGAGTAAGATCAATTGCAGTAGCTTCTTTTATCCAATTAGTTACCATTGGGGAAAATATCCATTACACAGGATTATTCTAGGTAAAATATGTGCTAGTGAATAAGGGTTGGCATCGGGCTAGGCTGGGTTGGCCTGTGAAAATGGAACCCAAGCCTGCCTAGCAGGCTTTTCCTGATGGTTTCTGGTAGGGTCGGGCCACATGGGCTTTGGTGACCGTTCAGCAGGCTTAGTCTCAATGGGCCAAGAATTTAAGGCTTATTTTTTGGATTTTTCATTAATTTTCATTTTTACTACTTTTTTATAATTTTTGACAAGCTCGCAGGCTGTGTCTCACAGGTTAAGAGGTTGTGCCCACAGGTAAGCCAATGGGTTGAATCAAGCTTCAAACCCTATGCCTCGGCCCAAGTCCAACTTTATTTGGGCCGGGCATGGCTCGGGCCAGGTAAAAGTCCACTGGACTGGGTGCACTGCGGGCCATTGGGCCCAATGATGACACATAGTAGTGAAGGCACCTAACATCGCAATTCTGGAAGTTGTTCCTTTGTTTCTCCTTTTGGGGGAAACATACCATGTGACTATTCTGATTTGGATCCCCTTGTCATTATTATTTGAGTGATGATACAATTTGCTGCATTATGGTTGTGAAACTCTGCACCTGTTTTAATCAAATCAAACTTAAAGCAGTACCTGTAAGAATGTTTAAGATTATATGAGGTATTTTAATTATTAAACATCCTATCAAATATATGCATATATGTGATATATTAAACATATGCTAGTTGATGATGAGCCATGTAGTGTTGGACATGCATGAATCAGACTTGATCTGACTCCACTTGATGTTGATATTGATTTTGATTTTGATTTTGATCTTGATCCATTTCTTGTCATGTGGCCAATGGCCTACATAGATTCCTTTATTCTCTGCTCTACTATTTGGGAATTTCTATTTCGGCACACTTAATTATCTTAGTGCACATCTTTTTTCAACGCACGCTTATTAATTTGATTATTAATTAATTTTCTCAATCCACATATTTAAAATTACAATTATACCCTTCACTCATAATCATTGTACACACATCGCTCAACTCTCCTTTCCACACACTTGTTCAGTGACCCTACTTCCAGATTTGTAGACAAATTGTAGACCCATGCGAAGACCATTCAAGACCGCAGTGTAAAGTGAAGTGAAGACAAAGTCCTCCATTAAAGACTCTATTGAACCTCCATTAAAAACGCTATCGAAAACTTTTCAAAATATTGTTGAAGATGAAGTTTCTTTTCATTTTGTTATTGCATTTACCATTTTCATATCTCTATGTACTCCATTGCCATAAAATCTTCATTTTTTTTAAAAAAAATAATAATGTTTTTTGGTTTGGAAATTTCAGCACTAGTTTTCCGAAATTATACATTTAATTTGAAACTTAACTTCCGAATAAAATTTATTAGTTCGACAAATTTGTTTTGAAAAAAAAAATATTTAAAAAAAACTTTCGGCAGTTGATGTCCAAATATAATGAAATAATTCGGCAATTGATGTTCAAATATAATGAAATAATTTGGCACCGGTTGTTTGATTGAAAAAAAAAATAAAAATAAAAAATAAAAAAATCTATGCACAAAACAACTAGTATTTTCATCACTAATAGAGTATAAATCTAGAGATTGAAGAAATATGAGAGTTATTATGAAAGTATTGTTTTGCAAGTAATAGAAAAGTATAGAGTGTCTAGCAAATAAAATGAAAATAATGGAAAAATTAGGGTTTAGTTTTTTTTTACTCAAAAGATGTACATTTAGAATTTTTTTTTTTTTTTAAAGATGTATACAAAAAATATTTTCATATAATATTATGGGTGTTAGTGGACATCAATTATGATCATTTTAGTTTAGAGTATAATTATTATTAAAATAATATTTCATTAAAGTATGTACACTGAGATAATTAGGTGTGTGAAAATAGAATTTTCCATACTATTTATTTCAATATGAGTTAGCTTCATTTGGTAAAGTTCATTTTCTGATTTTTTTTAGCTTAAGTTTTAATAACTTGTGCTGTTTGTTGTATTTTGATAATGAAGAATGTTTGGCAAAACTTTTTAGCCCAAATAATCTCAAAAAATTTAAAATTTTAAAATATGAATTTAGCACCTTTATTATTATTATTGTTGGTTGTTGTGTTTCACACATGGTAGGATGTTAGTAGAGTTCAATTATTGTAGCAGACTAATACCACAACATTGATCTGAACCTAATATCTCACTTTACTGACTTAAATAATTGTACTTTTTAATTTTTTATAAAAATAAATACAAAAAAGTAGAGAGATAATGTGACAAAAAAAATAAAAAATGTACTTATATAGTGTATCCCAAACCAAGATATTTACCTTCTAGTTGCGTGATGAGTAGTTTGGGCTCAACCATGTTTGAATTCGCAATATGTTTATGCCTAAATAGTTCACAAACAATCAATTGATACTCTGGTTGGGGGATTTGAGAAATGATTTGGAAAGGGAAAGGAAAAATAAAGGTGAAATGTGAATAAAATATACTTATATTTTACTTAATTTCACACAACTTTTCTCTTTTCTTTTCTAAATCCCTTCCCAAATCTCTTAACCAAACACACCATTAATTTGAGAAAGTCACAGGCCTAATCAGTAATCTCACAATTTGGCGAAAAAATGATTGAGCTGCAAGACATGCAATCAAGCTCAAGCATGAAGGATTTTCCACTATCACGATAATTTTATCTGTTAAATCAATCTCAAGAACAATATCAAATTTGTCTATACTCTTGCAAATTGTGAGCAAAAGCATTGGTTTATTGGCCTCTCTATTAAAATGAAATATACTAGTCATGGTTGGCAGGCCAGTTTAATTATATAAATAAAATAAAAAAAAATCAACCTCAAGTTATTTGCTTTAATAAACATCCTTGTTAAGCCTAGATTGAACTCTTTATTTATTTGCATTATGATATATAATTAATAAGAATAACATATGCAGACAATATGTGGTGGTGTCTATTATAAATTATAATGGACCACTTGATTGGGAATAAATATCTTACATACTTTATTATTATGAGCAAAAGAAGTTTTGAGAGCAAAGACAACTCTCCAATGATTGGAAGGATTGGAGATACAAGGATGAGTTTCTTTTAGTTTGTCTTCTTGTTTAATTTTTTAGCATGGAATAAACTAAATTTGATACCTTTTATGATAAATAAACATTTGTTTAATTAATTTATTAATTAATATTTTGTTACTAATTTATTTTAGAAACTCAAATCCCAATTAACACGCCGGAGATGAATAAGTCCATTTATTTAGTTTTACATTCCTTGCACTTATTGTATATATATTTACTTAGATATAAACTTCGATTTATATTAATTAGAATCGGCTAATTGGCGTTGGATTGGTGTTATATGCTAATATTGTTATGCAAGTGAAAAGTGTTTCTGTAGAAATGCATTTAACTAAACAAATATCTTGAGTGTTGTTTGGTCTATAATGAGAATATGATGACATGAGTATCTTTTTTGTGGGTCTGCATAATTTTTTAGTTTTGCTAGGAACAGTGTGTTACACTTGTGCCTGTTTATTTCAACGAAAAATATTTACCTGTGAAATTTTTTTTAAAGAAAATATTTTCTATATTTGGTTGCGATTTTAAAATTAATATGTAAGTAGTTGCATTAGTAGTGGTGGGGTGCCAATGGTGATACGGCAGCGGTGGTGATGGTAATGGCGATGGTAGTGTGGGTAAGATTTCAATTTAGAAAATGTTTTTTACCTTTCAAAAGCGAAAGGCATTATGCGTCCAATTAAGCTATTTTTTTTGTAATTTGGTATACATTTTCCATTAACTCTGTTGTTTTCTTTGTACCAAATCCAGAAGCTGTGTGAATCATTTTCGTGGTGTTTATTTCTGAACCCATGTTTACTTCACTTCAAAAAATATATATATATATATATATTCCTCTTTCATTAAGCAACATGCTAATACTCTGATCTAAGACATAATGCAAACCAAAACTTGGCAGTTTCCCAGCTAATAACATTTTGGGATTTTTGTTGTTGCGAAAAATTGTGACAGTCGGGGGACTGAAGGGGGAGATTTCACAAATCACTAATGTTAAGAATCATGAAAAAAAATATTACGAAACGCATCATGAAGATTTTTCATCATTTAATTAGTATGTGATGTTTTATTGTATATGTAATCTAAAGATGGAGAATCTTTCATGATCATTTTCATGATATTTCTTTCATGATCTCTAGCATTACTCTTCCCAAATCAAGTATAGCATTGGATCCTCAGTCTTTAAAACATTTGTTACCGTCTTTAATGCACTTTCAACTATACGGGATTCGTATATTCTAAGAAATTCTCATCTTATCATATAGTTGAAAGTGTATTAAGAACAAAGAGATGATTTTGAGGAGATTGGATCCCTTCTATGTATTATGACAATTTATTGTGTAATGACACACACATCTAAGAAGCTTCATAAATTACTTGTGAGCTTTGATATTATAGAGAATGAAAATAATAAAATTATCTATAATCTAAATTTTTAGTTGAGATAACTAACAATTTGACTTGAAATTTTAAGCCTTAAATCAAGATAATTGAGAAGTTGAGATGGATTTTGAATTATCGCCAGTATTATTGAGGCATACAAACATGACAAAAGACATATTGTGATGTTGAATATATATAGTCATGCACGAAAGTGATTAGTGTTTGGTAAACAAAACCAGTTTATAGTGACAGGTTTAAAAAACGATGATTATTATATTAAGGGCTGAGCTGTGTTGAATCCATTAGAAGTTCTTGAGTATTCAACTTGACTACCCATGACATGATGTTGTTGTTGTTTTTATTTATTTATTTATTTATAAATAATATGATGTTGTTGATGTGTTATTTGACTGCAAAAAGTTGATGTAAGCAGCAGCAAATTATATTAGTAGTACCAGAAAAAGGAGTACTAGAAATTACTACTTTTTTCTTTCTTTCTGATAGTGAGGATACAAGAGTTACCACTACCAATGGCCATGTATGTGGTTGTAATAGTTTGCTTTTAAAGCTCGGTTGGCGCAAAAAAAGAAAATGTTTGACGTATATCCCATGCCATAAACAACCATGGGACAATATTAACATTGTATTTGAATTATAAATTTAGATAAGAATTTAAAAAGAAAAATAGATAAAATGAAGAAAAAATTTAATTTATATTTCATTCACATTTCTCCCATTTAAACACAACTTAATAATAACAATAAAATGACATTTCAAAACCATGATCTATTTGGAGATGGGGTCCTTTCTGTGCCGGGGGGCATAACAGGCTATGCGGTTAAATGAGCCCATTTCGTGGTCCATTTTAATCTGAACTATTCATATTTTAGAGTACATTAAGTAGAATTAACCTATAAAAAATAATATTGATCAGATATCGTTAACCATTTTATTGAATAGCATTTGTATCTACAAAAATAAAGAACAATTGCAATTTGAAGTATAAAAATAAATAAAAAAAAGTGAGTGGATGAAAATGTTAACGATATATGATTAGTTTGATTTTTTACAGATATGTTCTACTCGATGCATTCTAAAATGTAAACGTTCGGATAATCAAACATAAACTCCAAAATAAGCCCATTTGGCTACACAATAGTGCCCACCACATTTCAATATTTCTATGTTTGATCATTTTTGTTATGTTTCTTTCATTTTCGTTTTGCTAGTTAGGGAACTACCTACGGTGGTTGTGGCCCCGTTTGGTTGCCTTAGGACTCTTGCCCCTTATCTCGGATTCCGATATCTTCGGAGATGACCTCGGCTTCTCCGAGATTACCTCGGCTTAACTACCAGGGCACGTGGCACCTCGGCTGACACGTCGGCGTCACCATGCCACGTGTTGGTATTCAGAAAATATATCCCCACAGATAAAATGAAGAAAAAATTTAATTTATATTTCATTCACATTACTCCCATTTAAACACAGCTTAATAATAACAATAAAATGACATTTTAAAACCATGATCTATTCGGAGATGGGGTATTTGCTGTCGGGGGGCATAACAGGCTATGCGGTTAAATGAGCCCATTTCGTGGTCCATTTTAATCTGAACTATTCATATTTTAGAGTACATTGAGTAGAACTTACCTATAAAAAATCATATCAATCAGATATCGTTAACCATTTTATTGAATAGCATTTGTATCTACAAAAATAAAGGACAATTGTAATTTGAAGTATAAAAATAAATAAAAAAGTGAGTAGATGAAAGGGTTAACGATATATGATTAGTTTGATTTTTTACAGATATGTTCTACTCGATGCATTCTAAAATGTAAACGTTCAGATAATCAAACATAAACTCCAAAATAAGCCCATTTGGCTACACAATAGTGCCCGCCACATTTCAATATTTCTATGTTTGATCATTTTTGTTATGTTTCTTTCATTTTCGTTTTGCTAGTTAGGGAGCTACCTACTGTGGTTGTTTCCTATAGGGTTGGGTCTATTTTTTTTCATAATAAATCATGGTTGTAAATCTTAAGGGAAGACAATTTTGATGATTAACATAATTTGAGTTTATATATATATTTTAACTTTTTGAGTGTTGGTCAATTGTTGAGAATATAATATAAATAATAAAGTTGTCTCTCTATCTCTAGTAGTTTAAGTTTTTATATAAATTATAGTTAACAATTTAAAATGGTATCAAAACAACTAATTGATTTTGTGTTTGAATCTTACCACCCACTAAATAATTAAAAAAAACGAACAGTTACGGCTCTCTCTAATGACTTAAGCTAGGGCAATCTCTCGGATCGTTACCCTAGAAATTAACATAATTTACAGTTGAGATTAATATCTAATATTTATTTATATTTTAACATTTATACGATGACTAAGCAAAAATATTTTTATATATCAACATTCCCATTACAGCAAGCACTTGTTCATATAATTAAGAATCGAATGAAGAAACAGATGAAACTTTTGGTTTAGATGAAATCTAAAATCTAATCGCCCGCCCTTGTACAGTAAAACTTATCTATCTCAAATAATATTATTGCTTTTATCGTCATCTCCTTGTTTGTACATGCTCAAAGGAAAAATATTTTGTTTTGTTAATTTCCTTGTACACGATTTTATTTGCTATTAAATAATGGAAATTCCATTGTGCATATATTTTTATCTCTAGGTATAAATGTTTTATTCTTTGCCAGACTCATTGTAATAAATATTTTAAATGGTGATATTGACATATTAGTGTTCTCTTGGTTTATATTCTTGTCCTCTTCTTGGTTCCCCCTGAAGGTTGGGTGCATTGGAGTTACATGCTACCCCCAGTCAACAATAATGGCCATAGAAATAAAAATGAAACGTAGGCCATCCAAATTTTGAGTTAAATTTGGGCTCAGACTCGGGTTTAGTCAAATCTCTCTACATTTTAGACTAAATCTAAATAGATTCTCAACTCGTTTGAGTTACATGAGAGATCCTCAACCTGTTTGTGTTACAACCCTTATGAAACATTGTTAACTAGAATTTTCAAAGGACTTTATTAGTGTGATTAGTGATTACATTTGGGTATAATTTAATGACACTAACCATTTTATGTAATAGCCTCACACAACACATGTTGTTAGTAATAATATCATTTTAAATGTCATATTAAAAAATACTTTTAAAATGTGATCGTCTTAACATTATCGATTTCAGATTTAATAGACTACGCAAACTAGTCTTACAAATCAAGACACAAATGAAGATTATAAAATATAGTTCTTCATTTCTATCAATAGATATAGCTAGCTTGTGTTAGTTTTGGACATTGTACTATAGACCTATATATTTTATTACATATAAAAGCCTAAGAAAATTTTTATAGTCCATTTGTTATAGCATTTTGACACCATGAGTTTCATTTGTACCATCTATTTGTCAGTGTAGCCAACCTCACAAACATGAATATACATATATTATGTTTTCTTATTAAAGAAATACATTATTGTACTTTAAATATTTGCATGACAATGACCACATAATGCTTCTAAAACCATAGATTTGTTGTACGTGCCCATTCCTCTCATTCTACTAGAAATTCAGATGGATTTGAGCCTGCAAAGGTGTTTGAGAACCAAGAGAGCTCCATAACCCATGGAGAGAACTCTCTTCACTCCAAGAGAAACACACTTTTCATTCTCCTCCAACCACCACATCATCCATGGTCATCCAAACATGCAAAGCACCAATAATCAGCCCCAAACTAGCCACACATCGACTAGTCGGTCTTCAGATTTCGGTGAGCCAAACACAGACGGAAAATGGGCTTCAAGGCTTCTTAGGGAGTGTGCGCGAGCAATCTCTGACAAGGACTCAACCAAAATCCATCACCTTCTATGGATGTTAAACGAGCTCGCCTCTCCCTATGGTGATTGCGATCAAAAGCTAGCATCTTATTTCTTACAAGCCCTCTTTTGTAAGGCAACTGAATCCGGCCTACGATGCTTCAAAACCCTAACTTCTGTTGCTGAAAAGAACCACTCCTTCGATTCAGCAAGGAAGTTGATACTCAAATTCCAAGAGGTAAGTCCATGGACAACTTTTGGTCATGTAGCATCAAATGGGGCTATATTAGAAGCCTTAGAAGGAGAGAGCAAACTTCATATAATTGACATAAGCAACACACTTTGCACTCAATGGCCTACTTTGCTAGAAGCCTTGGCCACAAGGAACGATGAGACACCGCGATTGAAGCTCACTGTTGTGGTAACTACTAGCATTGTAAGCTCAGTCATGAAGGAGATAGCCCAAAGAATGGAGAAGTTTGCGAGGTTAATGGGAGTACCCTTTGAATTTAACGTGATAACTGGTTTGAATCACTTGGGAGAGCTCACAAAGGAGGGACTAGGTGTCCAAGAAGACGAAGCTATAGCGGTGAATTGCATTGGGGCTTTGCGAAGAGTCGAAGTAGACGAAAGGGGGTCAGTGATACGGATGCTCCAATCCCTTCGTCCTCGTGTTGTGACTGTTGTTGAAGAAGAAGCTGATTTTTCTAGCTCTAGAAATGACTTTGTCAAGTGCTTTGAAGAGTGCCTTAGATTCTACACATTGTACTTTGAGATGCTAGAAGAGAGCTTTGTCCCAACTAGTAATGAGAGACTAATGCTAGAAAGGGAGTGCTCAAGAAGCATAGTTAGGGTTTTGGCTTGTGATGACGAAAATGGTGTATTGGGAGATTGTGAGAGAAAGGAAAGAGGATGTCAATGGTCTTTGAGGCTCAAGGAGGCTTTTTCACCAGCTTCATTTAGCGACGATGTTGTTGATGATGTCAAGGCACTGCTAAAGCGATATAAAACCGGGTGGGCTCTTGTGCTACCGCAAGGAGATGACTCAGGACTTTACTTGACATGGAAAGAAGAACCGGTAGTATGGGCTTCGGCGTGGAAACCCTAAAAAATGGTCAGATCACCATTATTACTACCCTATGTTCAAGCTTAGAATGACATTGTTGATTTATATTTGGAAGCCATGAACACATATAGACTACTAGTTGATGCATAATTGTAATTTTATTTTTCTATGGGTCCAGCTTTTCCTATGCTTTGTGCTTGGTAGTTTGTGCTGCTTTTTGTTTTTGCTTTTCTTCCATTGTAGTTGTTTGAAAGTGTTTGCACCTTGTGCTTGTGCCTCTTTTATAAAACTCCATATCACACTACATTTCTCATTTGGATTGCCTTGATTTGATTCTATTATCCCTTCACTCATTATAAGGTTTTTGTTTCTAAATCATGGCATAGTTGTAAATGGCTAATTACACTTGTGGTGTAAATGGATTATCTTTCGCTTCACGAATCATCTTCTCCATAGATATAGATTGTTTGAAATGAAATCTGATGGCACATTCAGTTCACTAATACGAAAATAGAAAAATTTTGGTTCACAAAACTTCTGGTTAATTATGTAAACTTATTGCTGATAACATCTTTTTATTTTTTATTTTTTATTTTTTTCAGTGATTCATGCTAGGTATTTTACATACCATAGAAATGACTATCTAGTTCAATCAAAAGGAATTTGATCTATTAGTATCAATTTGTGTCCCAGTTGCTAGTTTAGAAAATGGGCATGTGCACCCAAAAATTTAAAAAAATAAATAAATTAAATTAAATGGGAGATAATTTTGGAACTAACAGTTGAAATCAGAACCTAAACATATTAAGCAAAATATAAAATTTGCGAGAACATTTAGGATATAATTGTGAATATTAAAGATAAATCTTTAGAAAAATGTCCAGATGAATATAAAGCTCCAGTAAAACGATTATCAAAAATCATCATTTTGATACTCTTTTGAACAAGTGATAAAATTTTTATTAAAAAGGGCGTCAGGGGGTTGGAAAAAAAATCCAAATATGAGCTATATTACTTAATGGTGACTGAAAAATATTAAAAAAAAGGTTTTAGAAGGTCTTACCCAGAAAAAAAATTTAAATCTTGCCTGAATTTCAAATAAATGTCGTCATGAAGTTAAACAATTAAGTTTGAGAAACCAGAAAAAAGAAAAAAAAAAAAAAAAAAAAGAAGGAAATAACACAACCCATGAAAATTGTAACTTAATGCGGATAATAGGTTTGTTGTAATTAGGGGTGCAACTCGGTCGGGTTAGGAAGTTATCCAAACCCAGCTTAAGTTGTGCTGAGACTTGCCCAGTCCCGAATTATAACCTGAGATTGTCTGCCTAAGTCTAACCTGAGTTAAATCCGAATTGCCCGAATTGTAAATAAATTTCAATTTTTTTGTGTGTGTGTGTGCGCGCGCGCACGCGCATCTACATTATTAAATTATTAAAATTTGACTCTATTTACATTTTTTTTCTATAAAAGATCATTAATACCATTAAAACAAATAATTTATATAATATCAGGGAGATGCCGCTATAGTTATCTTTACAATTTATGAGTGAAAATAAAAAAAAAAAAAGTAAGATCTTGTGTTATTTGTATATATAATATATATTCAATATGATTTAATAATCTAAATTACTTTAAATGTAATGGCTAATAATTTATGTGTATATTTAATATTTTTATATTTCTATACATGTATAATTCAGGTTTCGGGTTGTTCAGGTTTTTTGACGTCTTTACCCAAACCCACCCAAATTTAATCTGAGCTTCTGAATTTTTGCCCAAACTCATACCGAATTTGAAAATATCTTCTCTAAATCCTAAAAAAATCAGGCTGGGTTTTGATTTGCTCGGGTTGAGCCCGCCCAAGTTGCGCCCCTAGTTGTAATTGAGTGACCGGCACCAATTTTAAAATGACTTATCTGGAATTTGTTTTTTAAAAAAATCATATGCATGAAATAGTAGTTCAGTTATATGAATCTAGTCTTTAGTTTGTCATGCCTTGTGCTACCATATTTGGTCATGGTGACTAGTTTTGGTAGTGGAAGATGGTATTCGAAATGAAAGCTTATGCCAACCTTAAAAATAGAGCAAAAACAAGACAGTTTGGAGGCAACTGAGAAATTTATAGATGAATCCATAGAGAAAATATTTTGAAGGATATGTAGTTCAAAAGAAACCGATAACAAAGGCATATATATTCTCTGCCAAGATCCGTATATGACTCCTGAAATTCCAACTATATGAACTCAAAATACAAGTGCCTTGGCGTATGAAAATTCCATAGAAAATCACTTTATGTTTTAAAATTTCATTTCAAATAAAGTGTATCCTAAGCTTTAAACAGCTTTCTGAAGAAAACTGAAAGAACTTGAGTTTTGGACAGTTCATATAATGTCATGCATACCTCTTTACATCTATAATTCTTCCTTAGTATCAAAGAAATTTTTAGCATAAATTACAAATAAATTCCCTAAGAGGGCATATATATGTATATATTGACGTGGGTCGGGTGTATTGAACTTGCATCTACCTTGGAAATATTTCAATTACTTTGGTTTAAGTTTAGGGTTGATTAGACCAAAAATTCCTCAACTATTTACAAAAATCATCTCGTCCCCCTCGCCTATGAACCTATGCATTTTGTCCTCTTTAACTATAAAAATGTATCACTTTGACTATCTTTTATCCCCTTTTCAGAATGGACATTTGTACAGGTTTTATAATTTAGTGAGTCAAAATGTACAAATTTATAGATGAGGAGTTAAAATAATATTTACTAACAATTAAAAGACTTTTAATATAATTAAACTTTAAGTTTACATATATGCATAAACTTACTAAAAAAATGTCAATAATAAAATATAAATAATACATGAAACTGTGGTTAAAACTGAGTCCCAAGGGAGAAGATAATATTATTAATTGCTTTCTTATTGATATGGCAAACTGTATATCATATATAATTAATATTAAAAAAATAAAAAGAAGCTATATCATTGAGAAGAAAACTTCATAGGCTATAGGTTATATAGAGTGTTGGGTTTTGATTTGCTCGGGTTGAGCCCGCCCAAGTTGCGCCCCTAGTTGTAATTGAGTGACCGGCACCAATTTTAAAATGACTTATCTGGAATTTGTTTTTTAAAAAAATCATATGCATGAAATAGTAGTTCAGTTATATGAATCTAGTCTTTAGTTTGTCATGCCTTGTGCTACCATATTTGGTCATGGTGACTAGTTTTGGTAGTGGAAGATGGTATTCGAAATGAAAGCTTATGCCAACCTTAAAAATAGAGCAAAAACAAGACAGCTTGGAGGCAACTGAGAAATTTATAGATGAATCCATAGAGAAAATATTTTGAAGGATATGTAGTTCAAAAGAAACCGATAACAAAGGCATATATATTCTCTGCCAAGATCCGTATATGACTCCTGAAATTCCAACTATATGAACTCAAAATACAAGTGCCTTGGTGTTTGAAAATTCCATAGAAAATCACTTCATGTTTTAAAATTTCATTTCAAATAAAGTGTATCCTATGCTTTAAACAGCTTTCTGAAGAAAACTGAAAGAACTTGAGTTTTGGACGGTTCATATAATCCCATGCATACCTCTTTACATCTATAATTCTTCCTTAGTATCAAAGAAATTTTTAGCATTAATTACAAATAAATTCCCTAAGAGGGCATATATATTTATATATTGACGTGGGTCGGGTGTATTGAACTTGCATCTACCTTGGAAATATTTCAATCACTTTGGTTTAAGTTTAGGGTTGATTAGACCAAAAATTCCTCAACTATTTACAAAAATCAACTCGTCCCCCTCGCCTATGAATCTATGCATTTTGTCCTCTTTAACTATAAAAATGTATCACTTTGACTATCTCTTACCCCCTTTCAGAATGGACATTTGTACAGTTTTTATAATTTAGTGAGTTAAAATGTACAAATTCATAGATGAGGAGTTAAAATAATATTTACTAACAATTAAAAGACTTTTAATATAATTAAACTTTAAGTTTACATATATGCATAAACTTACTAAAAAAATGTTAATAATAAAATATAAATAATACATGGAACTGTGGTTAAAACTGAGTCCCAAGGGAGAAGATAATATTATTAATTGCTTTCTTATTGATATGGCAAACTATATCATATATAATTAATATTAAAAAAATAAAAAGAAGCTATATCATTGAGAAGAAAACTTCATAGGCTATATGTTATATAGAGTGTTGGGATGAAGTACAGAAAATTGACAGTCACAAAGACGAGAGAAAGAGGGACCCAAGAACAAAAAAGAAGGGGGCTTGGTGGCAAACAGAAGTAGTACCAACTAAATCCCATGGTTTCCTTTTTGTCTATTTGATAGGAATAGCATATTTGCCTTTGATTGCTACACACATTGCATGAAAGCAACCGACCTTATGCCCCAACATTACTAAGTGGAAAACAACTTTTCTAGATTTAGATAAGACTTATGCTATATACTATACAGTCCATTTACACTTTAGCTACTTTCTTTTTATCTTATCCTCTTGTTAGGAAATGGGTGTACTGCTACTTCATAATAATAAAAATTCCTTTGAATAAAGCTAAGACAGCCAAACAAGATGATTCAATATTTTGTGTTGTGTCACTTCATTCATTACATTGCAAAAAAAATCAACCAACCCTTTCAATAATAAATGAATGGATAAGTTCCCAAAAAATATACGAGGAAAATAGCTTCAAATGTAAATGAAGGATGTATTATTGGGTTTAAGTTGGATTAAATTTAAATTACATATTGATTTTTCTCAAATAAATATTATGAGGTTTTGTAGGGTAAATGAATTTGTCTAAAATTAATAGCGGGTTATGGGGACGATAAATTCTTACCCACTTAGATTCTCTTCATAAAATCTTTCCTTCCAGCTTTAACTACTCAAAGATATATGACAATTCTAGGTATCATATAAATTTATCAAAATCTTACATGAAATACAAATGTGAGATATAAGTTTAAAGTTAATTAATATATTATAGACCATATGCAAAATGAATCTTATTTACATATTTAAATTTTTGATAAAATTCAAATAATTTTTCTATGTAAAACGATGAAAGATATACTCTCATATGTCAAGTTTGAGGCCCAATGGGTATTTGAGTTGTTAAGTATAGCGGATCGTTGGGCCCAGAGGGATTTTTCATTTTTTAGGGCCGGTATTGCTCAAGATTTATTTATTTATTTTGCAGGAAGCTCAAGAATTTGTCGCTGCAATTTCTCAAAATATTTTCAAACAAAAATGTTATGAACTCATTTTAT